AAAAAATAAATGCAGATCACATGAGCAAATCTAACACCAAGTTGGCTGAGTAGAATCTTACAAGATGAGCAGATGACAGCTAAGTGAGGCGTGGAAGGAAGGCTGTGTTGACCAGGTAGGACAGTGTGTATCAATCTGACAGAGCGGTAGACCAGAAACCAGGGCCCAGTGTTGCCATTTCTTAGCCACCAACCCACTTCCTCTATGGGCATACTTCCCCATCTGTGGAAGTGGGGTGCTGAGACATGTCTAACATGGAGATGCGAGTGCATCTTCCATACTGTGACGTGCTGTACGCAGGGAGGGCGCATTGGCTTCAGCGTTACCTTTAAGCTGGGAGACGTTGAGAAATCCAAAACCAGAGCAGCAGGGATCAGCATCACACAGCCGCTCACACTCGAAGAACCTGGTGCGGGAGGAGACGGCTCTGGTTGGTGGTCCGAGACCCTCCTGGGTGGACTGAGCTGAATATAGTCTCTCAGGGATGGTTTTCTTTATGACTACCTAACTCGGGGTGCTTTGGTCAATTTGGATGCCATCATTCTGAGATTCTTTCTTAAAACAAATTCCTGCTCTTCTCTCAAGAATCTAGTCTGCCGGCCTTCCTACGTACACTTGACTGTTCGTCGAACACATAGACTGTGCGCCGATTCGAAGCTGCCCACGTGGGCCCCTGAACATGTTCCTACCATCCTTTCAGATTAGGGGAGAACAATAGAGAAAGTGTCCCCAAAAAGGACCAGTTTGTGGCTCACAGCCAGTACAACCCTGCGACGAATGCTCAGGCATGGCTCTCCAAAGGTTTTGCCTCTTGAGATCTCCTCCCTTACTTGCTCTGCAACACAGACTAAGAATGTTCCAGAAGGACATTTCTATCAGAACTAAATTCTCAAGACCTCCCTTGTCTTGAGAAAATCACTCAGTGTGGTTGCTGAACCCGCTCACAGCTTCCAGTACCAAGACTGGCCAGAGGATCTTAGGGGCTCCAAACCAGCACTCCTGGGGGACATTTGCAGCTCTCCCTCTTCTGTCCCCTGAGAGCTTGCTTGATTTCCCAGGGCCTTTTTTTGGTTTGAAGTCTGAGCCTTATTCTCACCCTTACCCTACCTTATCTTAGCAGTCCCTGAGTCCACACCTCACCCCACCTGCCGGGCAGCTTACCCGTTAGAAACGGATTTTTCGGACATGGGCACTTTACTTCGAATGGAAATCCCCATGAGTGTTTGGAAGGGCAGGCGAGCATAGAAGTTCTTCACTTTACCTTCCAGCATGACTGCAGATGGAGAAAAAGATATTTTACTTAGAGATTTAATTGCATCCAGGACAATATTGAGAACAAAGGAGTAATAACAAGATCTTTCCTAATGTTATTTTTATATTGTGGTTTGAGTGAATCATAAGTTTCTTTTCAAGAGCAGGAGAAACTAATCTGTGTAATAGTCAGACAACAAAGGCAGCACCGCATTTGAGCACTCACCTTTCTTCCGGAACAGAGATGTGGGTCTGTGGGGCAGGATCACTCTGCAACCCTTTGGACTGGACTCTAACACATCGTCACACACCTGGGCCTCGGGGTAGAGGGTGCAGGTGAAGAACAAAGGTGCACCATCTGTTATCTCTGCGAACTGACAGAAGGATGGCTCCTGGGCACAGCCTGTGAGCAGAGAGCATTTGGATTTCAACCCCCAGGACACTGAGAGAGGAGAGGATCTCTTCTACAAGACCTTCACAGAGGAAATACTCGGTTTACACTCTTCCAGGACAGTTGAGTCTGTTTGCTCTGGAAGGCCCATGAAAATCGGGGTTCTCGTAGTTGAGTGTACACAGAACAGAGAATCATGTGTCCCAAACTAAAGGCAGAACCTAAAGAGCTGAGATTTGAGCTTCAAAGGCAGCAATATATGAAGATAAAGGGTAGAACTACATTGGATTTCTCTACGATGATCAGAGAGGCCTTCAGAATTCACAGACTAGAGGCCTTGGGATTATAAAAACCTCAAATCCATGATCCCATTCTTGTGCAATTCTTTGCCACCAGTGTGTGATAGCTCCTGAGGGCAGGATCGTGTTGGATTAAATTTGGATTTTGTTTCTTCATTTTCAAGGTCATACATTAAGCCTAGAACATAAGGCTGGTCAATAACTACCTTCTGGGTAAAGGGTGGATGGATGGATGGATGGATGGATGGATGGATGGACGGACGGATGCGTGCATGCAGGTATGTATGGATTGAGCAATCAGTGGATAAATAGATGAACATGTGGATGGATAGATGGACATAAGGATAGGTAGATGGATAGAGAGATGGCTCGATGAACAGATAGATGAGTGAGTAGATGGATGGATAGTTGATAGATGAATAAAAGGTGCTGGGAACATAATAGAGATAAGTTTCTGAATAAGCATCGTAACGACTGGGAACATTTCCCACATTTCTTCTACATCACTCATTGTGCATCCTTTTCGAGTTATGACACGGAGTTCAGCCTTATATGCCTCTCAGTTGTTGTTAAGTTGGGCCTGTGATCCCAGGACCTAGAAGAAGAAGAATATGGTATATGAATACTCACGAGAGAGACACCACAGGTTTGCTTGCTGGGGCGAGAAGAGGTGTTTGAAAAGCCAGTGCTGCTGGCTGGGCAGCTGTCGGCTTGCATTAACAGTGATCTGGCTAAGGTCCACTGGGAAGAAACTCTTTGTCACCAAATCTGAAAAATAAAGAAAAGGTCATCTTCCTGCTTGAAAGTGAACATAAGAGATCAAGAGATAAACACATTGGAGAAGCCACAGGGCCTGACCTGGAGCTGCAGACAAAAAGCCTTGCCCTGAAGTATATATGACCCTTCCAGCTGGGAATCTATCAAAGTACAGAGGAGTCCCCACAGGCCAGGGGACTCACTGCCCAGGAACTCTGGAAGGTCACTGGCTGCTTGGAAGGCACTGGAGGAAAACCTGGAAGTCCAGCAAGGCAACCAGTGCCCAGTGATGTCTAGAAAGACATTAACTTCGTAGGAAGGACACCCACTGCCAGGGGAGCATGGACAGGCCTGCTCTCTGTTCTCTGACTCGGACCTGATAGAGAACCAGGAGACAGACGGAATGGGGCCACCTTTACAGTGTGCTTGCTGAGATCTGGGCTCCACACTAATCACCACCCACTGTGTCATCATTCACTGAACGACACCAAACAACAATCCCATAATAACAGCCACCAAGGTCTGAGCCTCCATTTTGGGCCACTGCATTCATGAGTTACCCCCTTGGTTCCCCACCACTGTTCTACCGCATGGATGTGGCCAGGATGTTCACTAACAGAAGAATAAACTGAGGCCAGAGAAGGAGACCCACTTAGATGACAAAGGCTGAGACAGGCAAAGCTGAGATTCAAACGCTGCCCTCCGACCTGAAAGGTCACACTCCAAACCAGCCTATGATCCCTGAGTCCCCTTAACAACTCGGGGAAGTAGGATAGACTCCTGAGGACTACGCAGTGACGCTGGGCAGAGCCCCATTGCTAATGCCTTGTTCACGTTATCTCATTTGATCTTCATAAAAACTGAGGACGGGAAGGAATCCAGCATTCTGGGGCTTCTTCTAAGTATCAGGTGTTTTATCTGACATTTTCTCTGATAAGACAAAAGGAAGGAAGGTGAGTTTCAATCTAAACAAGAGGAATCTGAGGCTCTGAGCAGGTAACAAACTTGCTCCGAGCCTCGTAGGTAGAGAGGAGATTCAGGAAAGGGGATCCAGCTCTAGTCTAGCTGCTTGTAGTGTGTTGTTTGTCCCATTGTGTCTCCTATCCTATCAATGTAGACCCTAGAGGCGGGCAACCTTCGAAGTCTAGACGGCACCGCCATCTGTGTTTTTGGTGGCTTTGCGTCTTCCAGAACAAAGAATGACTCCCCTTCTAAATGGGTCGCATCCATATCTCATTCTTTAAACAATTCCAGGTCTTTCCAGTTGAGCTCACGCTCTGGGGGGCTGACAGTGACCAATTATGATGAGTGGAGGCTTATTCACTGTTGGTTGGTTGGTCTCTTGTACTTTGTTTGGTTGTTGCTGGTTTCTCTTTTCATTTTTCTGTTACTTTGTTCTCCAGCTAGGGTGACTTGGCAATTCTTTTGCCTCATATCCTGTCCTAACCATCCAGTTGAGAAGCTGCCATGTCTATGAGGAAGATAATCGGTGTTAGCCGCCTAGAGCGAAGTGTATACTACAGAATAGAAGGAACTTAATGGGCTGATTCATCAACTGAATCCCCAGCACCACTATCTGGTCTCCACAGCCACGTGTCCAGGTGTGTGAACAGATTTCAAGTCAGTACCTGTTTCTGCTGGTGACATAGACCTTGGTGCCGCCTCTCTTCTGCATCCCATGGACTCAGCCCGAGACCCCATGTCAGAATCTAGAAGGGGAAAGGAGGAGAGGCCTTGTAGCCCTGGGGCTCTGGGGGAGGCACTCCTTTGATCAGCAGGATGGTAATGGGAACACTCTCATGGGCCACGGCCAGGTCCACGGATAAGGTCTGAACAAATCCAGCTGTGTACTTCTACAATCCTTGGGATTTTAGGGGGGACCTCTTGTTAATAGAAATATTATCTCCCTGATACTGAAAGTACTTACTCTGCAAAGAAGTAGAGAGCTAACAAAATATATTCATTAATAATGACCCTCAACATACCCTGTGAAGGTAGGGAAAGTTTTCCATGTTACCTCTGAGACATTATTTCAGAGAGGTAAAATAATTTAATCCAGACTTCAAGAGCTAAGTAACCAAAACAAAACTCAAACTCCAGGTCATGCAGATTCATGAATCCAAAAAGAAAAGAATTAAATTGAAAATAATATCCAACCTCCCAGTTGGCCACAGACCTTCTCTGACAGCAGCGTGAGGCTGTGCGGTGCAGACCACAGGGTCCTGCCCCAGCACTTCCTGGCTGAGTGTCCCCTGGCACTGCATTTACCCTCTCCTCATCTGCAAAAGTGATAAATCACCCCATCTACCTACCTACCTGTAAACCACTCAGCCCACTGCCACTGAGTTGGTTGTGACTCAAAGCAACTCTTCATCCAGTTGGAGAAATTTTAACTGTATGGGAGGAGTCTTCTCATCTTTCTCCCCCAGAGTGATGGCTGGTGGATTTGAACTGTCAGCCTTTTAGTTACCAGCTCAATAAATGGCTAATCATCCCTTCCTTTTCCTCTTCCTTTTCATCACCACCATCACATTAACTACATTCATTATGCACTTTGTGCAGTTCTGAGCATGGTTCATGCACTGTCTTACTGGTTTTCATACAGCTCTGAGTAAGGACCATGTCTCAGCCTCCCTTTACCCATGGTAAGCCTTTACAAGGCTCAGAGGGACCAAGAGGTGGAGCCAGGGTTCTTGTGCAGTCTCTCCATGCCCTACCCTCTTCTCCATGATTGACTTACAGGTGCAGAAACAGGTCATTGAGGCAAATGGGAAGGATTGTGGGAAGAGGAGGGCAGTAAGTGACAGAGGAACCGAGAACTTCCTAAGTGCCTTAACCCAACTCTTGCCACCTGAAAATATGCTGGCCCAGTCGCTGGTCCATCTCTTTCATGAAACTTGGGCCCCTTAAAGGCCAAGGTTATTGTGTCTCATGCATCTCACTCCCAGATGCCTCCACAGTCTCTCTACCTCTGGGGAGTATTTGGCCAGTCAGTGTTCAATCAACTCAAAGGAGGAAGGGAGGAGCCGAACATAGACTTAACCTGAGCCACATAGACTTGACCTGAGCCACATAGACTTGACCTGAGCCACATAGACTTGACCTGAGCCACACAGAACTTGACCTGAGTCTCCACTTTGCCCCAACCCATTCCATGCACTCAAGCAGTAACCCACAGCACCATCCATCTGGGGGTCTGTCCCCTCATCTTCAACGCTGGGGGAGAGGCACTCAGCCAGTTCATGGGAGAAATGGCTCCTGTTTATTCTCAAGGCCTCCAAGTTATAGCCTCAAATAAAGGGGCCCTGTGGTCAGAGCACTTTATCTCAAGGGGCCAGTGTCTCCTTCCTCGATGCTGTCTTCAGTTTCCAAACCGTTCCTTTGTCCGCAGTCTTAGCTATTTTATCTGATGAAGAATGAGCCCTCCTGTCACACAGAGCTCTCACATGGGAAGTTAAACCCTCTGCTCTTCTCTGTGGGCAGCAACATGAACAAAAGATGGGTGCAGACAATCTCGTGAGATCCGCCCCTCTCCCCCACCTCCGCTGTTCAGCTTACCTTTCCAGAGATAAACCCGCTGGAAACGGGAAAGGCTATCCTGAGTTCCATCCGGGGCTGGCAGACCTGAAAAATGAGAGTGCTATTTTTAGGAGCTGGTGGTCTGTGCTTGCTCTCACAGGCACCTACAGTACCATCAGGGCCTGGCCCCCTCCACCGGCCCTTCTGGACCTGAGATCTTGGATTCCTGAACAAGATGCACCCCTCAGGGCTCTAAGCTCTTCGGGACAAAACAATGGCTGGTTAGACCCACATAGGAACAAAGGAAGCTGCCATGAACCTGTAACAGGACAAAGCTCATCCGAGACTCAACAGCCAAACTTTGACATAAACGAGGGTGGGGATTGTGGGGATGGTTATAACTTCCCTAGTGTACTCCTCAATATTTGATTATTGTTGTTATGTACAGTCATGTTTGGAATAGACCCATAGATGAAACTCTAGTAAGTTTTTTTTAGAGGCAGTTAATTTCATAACCAAGAGAGCTCTGTTGGCCTAGTGGATTCAAAGTGATGCTACCAACCTAAAGGTGGGTGATTTTAATCTGTGGCCCTCAGGCTTGGTTTTAACTGTTTTTGGTCAAACATTCTTCTAAGTGGTCTAGCACTGGTCTGTCCATTTGCTGTACAGAGGTAACTCGTATTTGCTGTGATGCTAAACACTGTGACACTGATGTGTCAAATGTAATAATGGTTGCCCATGGTGGACAGTGTTTGGTGGAGCTCCCTGTTTAAAACAAGCTTGGAAGCAGGAGTGGCATCCACTTCTGAAATAGCTTGCCTCTGGAAACCCTATGAACTTGGAGAATGATGAAAGTTATACAAGCGTTCAGGTCTTTTGTTCATAGGGTCACTATGAGTCACCTATGACTCGAAAGCACTTAACAACAATAACAACTGCATGGGAGGAGACTACCCATCCTTCTCCTGTGGACCATCTGATAGATTCAAACTATTGTACGCCTTCAGGATTACAGGGCAGCTGCTTGCCACAGGCTACCAGAGATCCAAGCACTTAATTATTGATGGTGGTGGTGGCTGTTGATTGCCGTAGAGTCAAGCATGACTCATAGCAACCCTATGAACAAAAGGCCTGAAGCCTTTCTCTAACTGTTGGCATTTATCAAAGTTCATAGAGTTTCCAGAGGCATGTTGTTTAGGAAGTGGATGCCACCCAACCCATTGCCTTTGAGTTGGAACCGACTCATAGCTGATGCTTGAACAGTTTTCAGGAAGCTGCACGTGGCATGGAAGGAGACTGTCCATTTTTCTCCCACAGAGAGATAGGTCAGTTCAGACAGGTCCCTGTGATCCAGGCTGTAGGGACCCAAACTCAATGCCCAGGAGGCGTGGCATGGAGCTGATCCGTCAGGGTTCAGAACATTCCTACAGACATGGAGTGATATCTGCACAAGCAGCTCATTTTTCCTAAGGGTGGACAGTGTGGAAGCACAGCCCAGGAGAGCTGAATAGCATTGAAACCACCTGTGCAGAGCCCTATCCTCAGAGAAGGCCTTCTCCGTCGCTAGTCAACATTAGGAGTGTTGTTGTTCACTAACGCGCTGAGTGCTAGAAATGTGAAAGTGGTAATGTCCAAGAGATGGGTGTCAGCTGGGGGTGCTGCATGAACCTCCCACCTCTGCAAGACGAGAGAGGAGAGATCCAGAGTTAGGAGCCCTGTGCGCCCTGAGCTGGACCCCAGAGTAAACCCAGATGTCACTGAAATGACAGGTCCTTGGTCATTGGATTTTGACCAGAAGGTCAATCAGGCCTTGTTTCAAGAATAAGACTGTGTGTGTAAAATGAACCCTTCAAACAGGTGTAACAGGGGCACCTACAGCACAGAGGGACACAGATGGGGCTTCCTAGAGCTCCCAGCAGGCTGCGGGGTGCTTCCCGAGCTTGTTAGCTGATCACTCACTGCCTGTGAGCGCTCATCAGTCTCGGACTTGATTTCACTACATCTGCTGGTGAGTTTTTAGGGGGAAGACAAAGCCAGTTACCAGGTAGTTATAGGTGTTATCACATCGAGTAGGACTGAGAGAGCCCTTGGACGTTAGACCTGCACCCTGTCCCACCCTGTGCCACCCTCGTCATCTCTGACACACTTGAGCCCATGCTGAAGTCTCTGTGTCAGTCCATTTCATCGAGGACCCTCCGCCTTTCCAAGCGTGATGCCCCTCTCCAAGGAAGAGCCTCCCCTTGCAACACCTTGAAAGCATGAGGGCCTCGCCATCCCTGCTTCTAAGATGCGTTCAGGTCGCTACAAAAATAACCTGGCCACCCAGGAGAGCTGCACCAGCTCAACTCTCTCGAGACTAAAATACTTGCTGCTTTTATTTTTTACTGAAACCTGGTGGACGTGACATCTGAGTTGTACTCATCAGAAGCTGACAACCTTGAGCAAAGTACTGAACTTCTCTGACCCTCAGTTTCCTCCTCAGAAAGTGATGACAATACCATCTTGTAGGGCTTAGAAGAATAACTGAACTAACATATGCAGAATCTAGAAGACACTGCCTAGTTCCCACTGAGGCCTCCAACTCTCAGTACCTGTACATGTGCCTCGTGGTTTTGTCCGGGATCTTTAGAAAGTCTTACACGATCTGAGCCAGAGAGGAGGGCTGGCCGAGTGAAGAGTTAACCTTTCCTCTACTCCTCAAGCAGGCTATCTTGAGAGCTGCTATATCAATACCCCAGTCTCTGTCCCTCTCATGGGCTAAATTCAATGTGTGGGTTTTGATGGACTTCCAGAAACTCCTCAAGAGGCTAAGCTCGAGTCCCCACAGTGCAGCTGTGTTCATGGTCCTCCTTCTGTTGACTGCCTTCTCGTCTCCCTATCACTTCCCCACGTCTCTGGTTCTATTCCCTCCGAAATAAACGACACATCCTGTTCCTTGTCTCAGGGCCTGGTCTGCCAGAACCCAGACTAAGACACAAAGCACATGGTCAACAACACAGGAATTCTCCTCAGTAACATCACTACATCGAGCCAATGCTGACACAGAGCAGCCCTGGAGAGGGAGTATTCCTGCTGCCATTAGGTGCCGTCCAAAGACGGAGTAAAATTGTTCAATGAGATTTCCAAGGCTGTAGGGCTTTATAGAAGCAGACTGCCTCATCTTCCTGCCCCAGCTCATTGGTAGATTCAAACCATTGACCTTTTAGTGTTACAGCTGAATGTGTAACTACACCACTCTGACTCACAGCAATCCTATGAACAATGTACTTGAACCTTACCCTCCGCTGCAATCCTTACAATCTTTTCTTTTCCCCAACTCATTATTCCATTCACTACATCAATCACCTTGTTGAGAATCTTCCTGTCTTTCTGGGATCCTACACCTTTCACAGCATGATGTCTTTTTCTAAGGATTTAGATCCTCCTGACAACATTACCAAAGTATGTGAGATGAAATTTCACCATTCTTGCCTCCAAGGAGCACCTTTGTTGGACTTCCCCCAAATCTTTTGGGTGTCCACGGAATACTCAGCACTCTTCTCCAACAACACAGTTCAGAAGTGTCTGTTCCCCTGTCATCCTTATTCAGAAGTGTCTGTTCTCCTGTCATCCTTATTCATTGTCCAACTTTAAGATACATAAGCAGCAATTGAAAATACCATGGCTTGCATCAGGTACACCTTAGTCCTTAAGTCACTGTCATTTCTCTTTAGCATTTTGTAGAAGTACTTGATAACAGGTTTTTGCAATGCACTACTAAGAGTTCTTCTAAATCTATGATAGCTATTATAAGTAACCCATAGGTTAATTTAAAAATTGACTATCCTATTTTTAGAAACGTATCAGGCATCTAAGTCCAGACACATCTGTTTATGCTAATTCATAGATGCATGGTTAAGTTTCCCCTAGTTCCCAGTGTCCAAAACATTGACAATCACTAATACAAAACAGCCCCCAAAACAGGGACTGCCAGACATCAGCTGGAGTCTCACAGTTGCTCAACAGATTTAAGCCCTTTGGATTCAGAAAGAACCCAGCCATATTTATGCCAAAGCCTTTTCCCCCCATCAGATTTAAAGTCACTACACACATTTGGGAACATTGAATCCTTCTGTTTCTATTATTTGTACTTATTCAAGACATTGTCTGAAATGAGCTCTGTGCCATGTCGGAACTTCCTAAGCCCTTTTTCTTAGAAGTCGGAAGGTTGATCCAGCCAACACCAAACCAAGGAAAACAGCCAGATGGGGTGGAAAATTCAGGAAACGCAGGCCCTGAGTAGTTTTCTTTCCAGAACACAGATAAGTTCAGATACAAAAAGATAAACAGAAATCTGGTCTTTGCAGACATCTCTCATCCCTGATTACAGGAAAGTGAAACCTCACTTTCTCTTAATGCTTTATGCATCTCTGTCTCCTCAAAGTGGGTCAATGCCCTCCAGATGTTTTGTGGGCTTCATGCCCTCATGGCACTGAGTGAGCTGGACAGGGAGAGCAATGTCCAGCTCCACCACTCCTACTGTGCATCTTTGCTGGTTCAAAGTTGGAAGGCTAGGGACTAAGGGTTTAGGAGGCAATAACGAATACTGTATTGTATCGAGACTGTAACCCTACATGCTGTAATATATAGAAGGTGCTCTGTTTCACAGAGGGAAACACTGAGATATTGAGATGTTTGTTGAATGCCTGGAACCTCAGAATGGAGGCAAGACTCAGTTCCAGGTATTTAAACCAGATCCTTATTCTAGGATTTATCGAGAGCCATCTGTTCCAGGCAGCATTCCTCCTTCTCCACAAGCATGTCTCCTTGAACACATCCTCCCACTCTTCAAACTCTCCAAGAGGCAGAAGTCAACACTATTTATATTTAATAATTTTGAAGGAAAAAATGCACCCTGTCAGGAAGAATGGAGGGTCAGTGAAAGAGAGGAAACCCCTCAAGGAGCAGGGCTGACACAGGGACAGCCACGATGGGTTTGAACACAGAGGGGGATAGCACTGGGTGCCCTGTGAGGTAGCACAGGACAGCATGAAGCTCAGATGCGTTGTTTACAGGGTCGCTATAGGGCAGAGTCGATTCACAGAAACAAGGCCCAGAAAAACCAAACCGTGAGTAAGGATTTCCTTTCATTGGTCTGATTCCCAAGTCTGTATTGTAATAAAGCTCATCGAGCCGGCAGTTCAGTGTGAAGGAGGAAGCTGGTCCTCACTCTACACTGGAGTGGGCCAGGGCCACTCTTTATCACTGCTGCTGGGAGCTGCGCTGCGAACCCGGCGACCACGCCGCTCTGACGGCTGCGGTTCGCCATTGGTCTCTCGGGAGAAGGACGGACAATCTCCCAGAGAAACTACCACAGAGGCCCTGTGAGTCAACGTAGACTCGATGGCAATGAGTGAATGGGGGAGCCATCGCTTTTCAGTATTTCACCCCAGCCCATCCTCTGGGGTCCCCTTCTACTACTCAGCTCCCCAGAATCCTTGTTTCTCTTTGTTTCCATCAATAACTATTCTTGGGAATGAATTTCTATCAGCTCTTCACATTTTAGTACGAATTTAAATTACTATTTTAGCCACAGGGTTGGAAAGGAAGGTTCTGTGCCTGATTTCTCAGTGAGATGTCACGCCTAGGTCATTTGTGTATGATCTTAGAACCAGAGAACTTTGTGAATATGTGTCAGGCTCCCTGAATTCGAAATCCTAGAGGAGCCTTCTTAAAGTCTTGTCCTGACTCTAGAAGAAACACACACACACACACAGAGACACAGAAAGAGACAGAGACACATACACAGAGAGAGAGAATTGTGAAACTTCCAAGGTCATTTAGTCATCACTCCTTCTCAGACAAGCAGACAAGGCACATTCCAAGTTCTTGGGCACGTACCAACCACATGTTCTGTGTTAAGCAGCTCGCCCTGGATTATTGTCCATGAATATATCTTACATCCTTCCTGACATGTCTCCCTTCACTCCAGACTACCTCTCGGAATAATAAACACCATATGTTTACTACCCATCATTTAAATAAGTTCTTTGAGTTTATTTATCCAAAACAATCATCGTTTAAGCATCATGGAATTCCACCAATTCTGCAATCTCTTTTTTCTGTGCTTTGGTAAAAATACACTCAACTGACATGTTTGTATTCCCTAAGGCCTCTTTAAAGTGTTAAAGCGCAAAGAAGCCACTTTGAAGACCAAGGTGAGCCTGAGCCTAGTCGTGAGGTTATCAATTGCGTCCCGTGCGTGGAGAGTTGGATAGTCACTAGGAAGACTGAAGAAGCAGCTGTGAATTAGAGCTACGATGTTGGTGAAGAAAACTGAACATATCATGTCCTTCCGAAAGAACCAGCCAATCTGTCTTGGAAGAAGTAGACAAAAATGCTCCATAGATTGAGGAGGCGGAGACTCTGACTCTCCTTATCAGAAGAGGTCGGTCCCTGGAGAAATGCATCATGCTCAGTAAAGTAGGGGGTCAGGGAAAAAAAGAGAAAGATCCTTCCAGAGACAGATTAAGATACAGACACAGCAACAGCGGGATCAAACAGCGCTGACTGGAGCGACGGTGTAGGAATCTGCCGTTCATAAGATGGCTGTGTGTTAAAAACCAACAGTGACAATGTTTGAGGTTTTATTCTAGATACTAAGTTAAAATTACAAAACGTTAAAAACAGCACTAGCATTAATATTCACTTAACCATCAGACATCTTATCAAGGTCCATACATGTATTGTCTGGGACTGGCCATCAAGAGTCTGGTGGTTAATATAAAGTGCTGTTAAAAACATCAACTTTGGAGCACAAGAACTAGTTTCAGTTCCCAGAACTTCTTTGTTCAAGATCTGAGACCTTGAGAAGTGATACAACTCCCTTCTCTCTCTCTCAGCTGTAAAATAGGCCTAAATAATTCATTCATACTCTCTCTCTCTCTCTCTCTCTTCCTTTCCTCCTCCTTCACTCTTTCCCTTCCTACCTTGTTGCCATTGATTTGGAACTGACTGACAGTTAACAGTGCAGCAGGTTCCCAAGGCTGTAAAAATTGCCCATTTTTCTCTCAAGGAGCCGCTAGTGGATTCGAGGTTAGCAGTGTAACACCCTACACACTGCACCACCAGAGCACTAGTGATAACTGTAACGCACTAATATAGGTCAAGCCTTATAGCAACATCTGGCTTAATAAATCCATAAAAGAGTCTTTAATAATCTTCCCAACAACCCTTCGAGCTGGGTGCTATCATTTCCTCCTTCACCATTAAGCAACTAAGCTTACCTTACAGAGAACCATCATGTTATCACTTTGTGCTAACAATGGCTGGTTCTTTCATTTCTAGATTTTTGAAGATATTTTCTTTCAAGTCTAATGTTAGTGTAAAGCACAGACTGGTCAGCTAACCCCCAGCCCTCCCCAGTGCGAGCCTGAGCCCTGCTGAGGTCAGCACGGCTGCCCAGTCAGAGAGCCCCTTGGCCAGTCTCCAGCCTGAGCTCCATTTGTGCTTGTAGGACCTGCTGGACATGCTCTGATTATCTCCTCATGCAGTAACTGGTACATGTTCTTTCCAGGGGTCTAGAGAGCTGTGCTGGAGAGGGCTTGTCCAGGAGGGAACGTGGACAGAGGACAGTGACTTACTCTTGACGAACTTCTGACCTCCCAGACGCAAGGTCACTTGGCGACTGCCCAGGTCGTAGGTCACACCAGGGCATGTGGCATTAGCGGGCTGGGCTTCAGGAACAGCTCTCCAGTCATTGATGTTGCAAAGCAGGACATTAGGGGAACTCAGTAGGCCACAGATGATGGAGTCTGCAGAGTCAGAAGAGGGGGAGAGGTCAGCCGGAGGGACCCACATCCTGAGACCTTGTAGGATGGGGACAACACCACATGAGAAGGACAGAGACACCAGAACTGAGCCTCTGACCCCACTGGGTTCCTCTCATGGGATCACCCCACAATCATTTCACTTAGATTGCCAAGAAGGGAAGACACCACCATATCCTCAGACTCTCCTTCCACCCTGAAACCTTCCTCTTCACAGGCCAGCAGTAATCTCAACGTGCTCCCCCAATCTCACAGGATTTCTTGAGAGAATGGCTAATGTCCCTGGCTGTGGCCTAGTGGTAAGAATCTGTGCTACAATCCCAAAGACACATGGTTTGAAGTCACCATCTGCTCCAGGGGAGAAAGACGGGACATCTCCTGTGCAATTACCTGCCTCTGACAACCCACCAGAGGTTCAGTTATGGGTCAGTTCTGACTAGACAGCACACAACAGCACAACAACTCCATCATATCAGACATATTTGGAGTCACCAGGAATCATCAGTGACTTAACAACACAACTGGTTGTTTTGCAAGGTCCCAGTGGGGTTGTGTGTGCGCGGGGAAGGGACAAAGACAGTAAGAAAAGTCACTTCTCTGGTCACAGCGCTGCTGATTCAGTGAGCACACAGCACTGACCTCCAAGTACCTCTTACCCTCACTTTCAAGAATGAAAATGTGTGTGCACAGAGCCCTGAGACTTTTAATATGTGCAGCAATCTTAGCTGTTTGCGGCCTGGAGCTAGAGGAGGCTAACATTTTGTTCACAAATAGAGGAGAAATCTCTCTCTCTCTCTCACACACACACACACACCCCAGGAAGTCCAATGCCTGGCTGAGATTACAATCCGTAGTAGGACTCTGTTCTTTGGGAGAGCTGGTCAAAATGCTCATAACCCAGGCCTGCAGATGTGCCCGCAGGATGAGAACGGGAAAAACATCTGCATGTGTTTTATGTGTCTCTCAACAAGAGCTCTATGCTCAGCTCTGCTCAGGCTGTTCAGCTCCCCAAATTTCCCAGACCCCAGGCCACACTTGGAAGGCCAATGAAGACAGCTGTGAGGCAGAAACGTCCTGGAGAAGGGGAATGTGTGGGCTCTCTTCTCCACAGAATCAAGGAATCCTTCCATGCAGGAGCCCGAGGAAAATGAAATCAGCCTTTCCGACTGGAAAAGTCATGAGGTCTGGTGAGTAATCGGACATCTGGCAAACTTGAGTGTCGTCAACAGAGTGTAGGCACTCTCTTCAAAAAAGGTTCCCTGGGCTTGAATTCCAGTGCTTCTAAATACAGGAGCACACAATGCACTGCCATTGAGTCCATGCCGACCCACAGGGACCCTGCAGGATGGGGGGCAGCCCACCAGGTTCCCACGGTGAAGTCTTTGTATAGATGAGAAGTCTTCCCGTCTCCCTTCCGCATAGCGCCCTGTGTGTCCTGATCACAGACTGCTACCTGATCAACCCAGCACCACAGCACTGCGCTATCAGAGCTGTTGGGTGCACATAAATGTACGGAGGTGTGTGTGTGAGCGTATATATAGACACTTTTCTAACCATTAGCATGACTGGGGTAAAGCATCACGTGTGCTAAAGGAGAGGGTATGGAAAAAAGAAGAAGACCTTCAATGATGTGGATTAACAGTGGCTGCAACAATGGAGTCCAGCCCACAGAGACTGTGAGGACAGGGCAGGAACAGGCTTGTTTCATCCGTGGTCACCATGAGTAACGGCCGACTTAATAACAGTGACAAGATCTACATCACAGAGTCACAGGAACTAAGCCTACAAGGACTTTGAGCAATCAACTTGCAATCAGCCAGTTTCCTGCTCCCCGACGCCAACAGAAGCTGCTCTCTTTGGCCACCACTCGTCTCTGTGAGCTAACTAACCCTGCCCTCTCTCAGTCTGCACTGTCAGGAGGGCACAGTATTGACAACTTCATCTTTTAGACTTTTCCTCCCTGGACTCATGAGGCAGTGTTCTCCAGGGCCTCTTCTTCCCTCTCTGGCTTCTCCTTTTTCTTTGAAGATCTCCTTCTAGTTCTGTATGAGCCTCAGGACTAGCCTCATTGCCTTTCTTTGCTCTGTCCAGAAACGCTTCCAAAGATTGACCTTAACCTCATCTGACACTGGTTGTCACTGATGCCATTGTGTCCACTCCAACTCATAGTGACTCTACGTGCAACAGAGGAAAACGCTGCCTGACTCCGCCCGTCCTCACACCTGTGGCGAGATGGCCAAGTGGCTTCTTCTTTAGGGCTGGCCCTCTCCTTTTCTAGAGAACGCTCTGGTGATGTCGCCCAGGCGGAGCTGGGCTGCTAACCAAAGCTGGTGCCTCTTTGGCGATTTGAACCCACTAGCAACTCCTCGGTAGATGCTGGCCAGGACAGATCGCCTAAGCTCCAAATAAGTGCAAGCCTCCCAATGGCCTTTAATATGGGGTAGAGAAAGCTCCCCTGTGTTTGGCTGTACCAGCTTGAGAAAGCTCGCCACCTGGGATGTTGGCTGCCGCATCTGTTGAGCTGGGAGTGATCTGCATGAGGTTGAGGTTCTCCTATCCAATCTGCGTGTCCCACGTCTGTAAGCTCACCCTATCCTGTCTTCCTGTTTACATGCTCTGCTCGAATATAACTGTGCTGCAGCCCTCGATAAAATTGAGATGGGTTGACTCTCTGATCCTCTCCCGAAGCGGTGTGTCTCCGTCGCATTTACCCCCATCAGGGTGTCACTTTTTGTTGCCAGTGAACTGACAGCGACAGAGAGAAAGACAGAAAATCTCATCTGTGCAATATTTGACTTCTGAAGCCCAATGAAGTGTCATCTATGAGTCAGTTCTGACTCAACAATGCGTTGGATTTTTTTTTCTCTCTCTCTACTTTTCCAAGCATGATGTCCTTCTGGGGGGAGAGACTGGCTCTCTGACAACTTGCTCAACATGTGTCCAATGAAATCTCACTATCCTTGCTTCTAAGGAACCTTCTAGCTGCACCTGTTCCAAGACAGACAGGCTTGTTATTTTGGCACTCCACAATAAACTCAATCTTATTAATCAACACCACAATTCAAAGAGGGCTAACACACATTTCCACCTCTGCGCTCTGAATCTCTCTCTGATGCTTAGTCCCCGTCAGGAGATGTCTCCAAGGTGTTGCAATCTTGGGACACCCTGAACTGACTCAAGAACTTCTCCTATCTCTTTCTCCCATCACCAAATCTTAGCTTTGATATCTTCTGTTATTCTCCAAACAAGTATATTACCAGATCAGATGCGAAAGTTACATTCTCGGGGAGGATTTTTGACACCTCCTCTTCTTCTATCTCTATATTCAACGCCTGTTTCTCTTGCCTCTGAGGGACATGTAGAGTCTGTCCCTTTCAATTCATCTCCACTACAATTAGTAAAGACCAAGCTACCGTGCACTGTACCTGAACTACTATGCTAGTTCTTAATTGACTTCTCTTTAGACACTCTGCTGTCAAGGCTCTATCCAAAGTGCTAAAGAACAATGAAGTAAGTTTAAAGACTAAGGCGCCCCTGATCCAAACCACAATATTTGCAATTGATTCCTATGCATCTGTAAATTGGACAATGAATAAGGATGACAGAAGAATCACAGCTTTGACATTATGGTGTTGAAGAGTACCAAACCTTCCTTGGACTGCCAAAAGAACAAACAAGTCTGTCTTGGAGGAAGGGCAACCGGGGTACTCCGTAGAGGCAAAGATGGGGAAACGTCCCCTCACCTTCTTTGGGCATGTTGTCAGGAAGGGCCAACCTTTGGAAAAACATGTCATGCTTAGAAAGGTGGAGGTTGCATTCGAACTTCCGAGTTGTAAAACAACCCAGTGGTAGATGGAATTTGCTCCAGGACTCAAGAACCATAAATTACGTAGCTGAGCCTCTACATCTTGTGGTTCCTAACCTCTACACTATAATAGACAAAGTGCTAGTCTATAGACCTTTTATTTTAAGAACCACCTTCCCTCTGTAACTTGATTTGTGCCACTATTAGAACCTCTACTTGGAATATTATTGCTTTTTAATTTTTGACTCATGTACTTTTAACTTGTTAGTTAAATTTGTATCTTCTAGGCTGCAACACTTCCATGATACATCTTCAAGGATATGAACATGTACGGCTAAGCACAATTGATAACAGTGAATCTCAATTCCAAAATCAATCTCCATAATAGTCTATGTGTTTCCTACTGCCAAAGGGGCCCTTTAGAGTAGTGAGAGAAGATCTTCACCCTGAAACCCACAGCGCCCCTTTTCAGCAGGAAGTAGCTAAGAGAATACACCATCCCCTTTTCCTTATGAATCAGGGTGAAGTCTCTCTCAGGGAGGAGTGATAGGGAATGACAAAGGACACACTGACAAACGAGATTAATCAGAACTGGCTTCGACAAGCACTGTGGCAATTGGACAATTAAAACAGACATTCGGGGGGGGTGGAGGGAAGAAGAACGAACTGGGGAGGAGGGTAGAGAAAACAGTGCAACAATGAAGGAATGAAAACCCAAAATCTTTGTAAATGTTCACTAAAACTAATAAAATTTAATAATAATTTTTAAAAAAGAGAGAGAGAAAGGTGGAGGGTCAGAGAGAGAGAGGCAGACTCTCAACAAGCTGGACTGACACAGTGACTGTGACATTGGACTTGAGTGTATCAGAGATGGTGAAGCTAGTGTAAGATGGGACAAGGTTCAGACTATTCTTCATATGGTCATGATGAGAGCAGCAGACTTGATGGCATGTAACAAAAAACAGTGATATACACTCTAACCACTTACTCAGTAGTTCTCCATCTTGAGCCAAAGTGTATATGTTTCAAAATAGAAACCGTATCATGGTGGCTCTTTGCTTAAAACTTTGAACATGTTCTAGTTCCTGTTAGAATAAGAAACACCTACATGGTTCTGCCTGATAGAGCTCCTGCTTCCTTCCCCCCGCCTTCTCAGACCAATGCTCTCACTCCACTGATGCTAAATTTCTGATAGCTTGCCTCTAGAAACCCTATGAACCTGGAGAAAGGACAAAAGTTATACAGGTGTCCAGGACTTTCGTTCACAGCGTCCCTATGAGTCGCCTATGATTTGACCGCACTTAACAACAACGGCAACAACCTCTTTATCATGCAACCTATCACCACAGGGCCTTTGCATATGCTGTTCTCTCTTTCTAGAACTATCTTCCTTTTGCTCTTTATTCCATTATGACCCAGTAACATAGAAAGGGGAGGATTTTGCCCCTGACATTATGTCCATGCGGGGCCACTTCAGCTCTTCAGTTGCACCAAACAATCTGCATGTTGGAAATCCAATTTCTGTATCATGACCTGTCCCCTGTCCCTGATCATACCAATGGCCCTGGCTTGGCAGGCCCTCAATGCCAGCATTACCTCCTGGGGCCTGAGTGAGGATGAAGCCATCGCAGCAGGGATCCCGGTCACAGGTGCGTTGACAGAAGAGGTGCACGTCAGTGACGCTGGCTCCAGAGGCCGAGAATACGGAGGAGTGGTACATTCCGGAGAGCGTATTTTGGAAGTTAGTTGGCTCAAACCTTTTCCGACTTGCAGTGGTGAATTGTTGCCCTGGGGATAGAGCAGCAACATTTTCTAAGACTTCAAAACAGTGTGGAGTTGAAAAAAGATTAAGATCTCCTATGGCAAGGCCTCTCCTTCCATGAGAGGGGCAGCACATGACCCCTGAGGAGACACAATCTTACCCTTGACCATTCAGGTCCACTTGTGCATCAAGAACCCACCAAGATCCCAGTGACTGTGTTCTGGGAGCAGCATTGTTTTCAATGTCATTGTTATTAGCAAACTTACTGAACTCAAGGCTCACTGAGTGGAGCCATGCACATCTGAAAGGCGCTGGAGCCTCAGCGGAAGCCTTCTCCCCTTCTGTGGGAGAAGACCTGGCTCTCATTCTCAGCAAACACACTCACCGGTCAGTGAAATGTGTGTGTTGCTCTGTTGGTGAACAGATTTTAGCAGAGCCCCTGGACTAAGGCTCACTAGGAAGAAAGGGCTGGAAGTAACTTACTCTAACTCAGCCAGTGGGCAGAAAGGAAGCCGGGTCAGAACCCAGCCCAGGGCTAAAGACCCCAACCCTCTGTTTTGAGTTGATCCTCACTCCTGGTGACCCCCCTTCAGGTTTCCAAGGCTGCAAATCTCCACAGGAGGAGACTGCTCATTTCCTGGTGGGTTTCAACCCCCAGTCTTCCAGTTAGCAGCCTGGCGTGGGACACACAAAGCCACCAGGGTGCCTCAGCCAGAGCACAGGCCAGGTTCAAGCCCAGCGGCCCTGAGCCATGCAGCTCCACCTACCCTGTTTCAAATACACGCCCAGAGAGGCTTGATCCCCACGCCTCACTCGCACTTGGCATGTAAGACTTCTGAAGCTGGTGGCCATCAAGTTGCCCAGTGCATTTTCCCCCTGGACATGGAAAGAGAAAGCATTACAATCATGTGACATGTAACCGTCCAATGCCACAAACATTCGTTATATTCCAGCCCGCAGTCTAGGTACTAGGCCAGACACTGGGCTACAGAGATGTCTAAGAAAAGACCCCTGTTCTCTGGTTTCTCCCAGTCTCTGTAACAGACAGATGTAGTGAAGCATCCCTGAAGGGTTTGGTGACAGTGAGAGATCTGCTGGACTAGGACATGTTCCAGGAACTCCTGAGACCCTTGAAAACGAGAGACCTTCAGGGGGTCTGGGTTGAAAACAACCTAGATCCAGTTCTAAGAGCTATTCCTTGTCAGCCATCTTCTGAGTCTCTGAGCCCTCAATGGTAAGTGCCCCAGAGGAGCTCTTGCTAACAAAATCTCCTGGAATGAAGGGGGTTACAAACAACCTCAGCACTTCTCCTGGAATCAGATTTACACACCCATTTGCCTTCTTGAGATAAGAGAAAGAACACAGAGCCTTGATTGATCATGGATCATTTGATTTGGTAGGATGTCTCCTGCTTTTCTTTACCCTGAGAAGAGTGTACTGACTTTCTTTAGATATGCTATGCCAGCTTCTGTGATAAAAAGGAGGACGGGGAAGCTCTATTTTGTCATTTGCCTAATAAAGCCCTTGGCCCTTTGCTGCCTTTTATCATTTCTCTGAGTCTCTACCTTATGCAACCTGCGATCTCAGAACACCCATGAACTACAATGTAGAGACAATAAATTACATCCGTGGTGTCAGCTGCAAAACGCATAAGTGATACAGAAAGAAACAGTCAAGTCCATGGAGAAAATTCAACTCCTTTCATCAGGTTGGAAGCATATGCTGACCCTCCAGTGAGTTCTCAGAGGCTGAAAATCACAAAGGAAGGGACTGTCTTTCACCCACAGAGCAGCTGGGAGTCGAATACCTGGCCTTTGGGTTGGCAAGGTGACTCCTGGCCCAGCAGGGCCACAGAGCACCCTACTGAGATGGAGAGCTGTGAAATTGAACTCTTACTCTTATGTCAAAACCTCATCCAGGTTCGCTTGTTTTAAGAGGCTGTGACATTTGGGTAAAATTTTGCCAAGTACAAACAAGAAAGGGAGGAACTTAGGCAGAGAAAATGGAAGACCCAGAGGCATCGGAGGTCCCAGACTTCGCAAATACGGGACACCCTGGGGGCACATATCAGTCAGCAGTCATTTCTTCACCTAGTCGGCCTGGACTTGAGCCAATCAGAACACGTGTGACAGAGAATGGGCAGAAGGTCTGCTGCCACCAGCTGCTGGGACTGACCTGGTCAGAAGTCATGCAGGAAACGCTGTCATTCGTCCCTGAGTAGAAGTCACATGAGATCTCTGGTCCTGCTGTGTTCACAGAGAGGAAGCTACAGGCCTCGTCTTCCGCACAGTCTGTAAGGACCAAGGAAACTGTTCACCCACCTGCTTCTCCTAGTTGATGAAGCGATGCTGAGGACAGTGCAGAGATGCCTTCTATCCCTGCACGCGCGCACACACACACACACACACACACACACACACGTGCACACCCACGCAGAGGAGATGTTAACCAAACACACCCCATGTACAACAGACTGTTATACACTGTGTCCTCAGCTTCATGACCCCTCACTGTGTGGCTGAGGAAGCTGAACACAGAGGCCAGCCACTCTGTCACCGTCACCAGGTGAGGAAGCAGGAGCCCTAGGGTTTCAGCCCAAACACGTGGACTTCAGAGCCTGCACAGTCACTAATCGACCTTCCTAAATGAAACCTGCCAGCGCCGTCACGGCTTCTCTTCTCCGAGGAATCCAGTGTGTCCACCGAGAGGACCATTCGTTCAAGGCCGAGTCCATTTCTAGCAGAAAACGGACGGCTGCCCTATATTCACTCCTCACTCACAGGACCGACTGACGGCTGACCCTCCGGTGTGCTTTCAGAGGTTGTAAACAGCCCTGGGGGAGAACGCCCAGCCTTCTCCCTCAGAGCACCTGGTGGGCTTGAACTAACAAGGAGGCGTTACATTTGTGTTAGCAGTGCAACTCCCCACCCACTAGACCACCAGGGCTCCCTACCCTTGGACGTGCTAACACAGAATTCCCAGCTGTGTACAGGGAATGGTTCTCTCTGAACAGTAGATCGTAAGTTTAATACGACCTGGGACTCTGCTGTCCTTCTGCTGTTTGAGAAGCCTGAAGGATATCGCTCAGCTTGTAGAAGACTCTGGAGTGTGTTACTCTACTTGTATAAATGAATGAATAAAGCAAAATTATATTAGAAAGAACTGTATTTAACTCTGCTATACTTATAAATGGAGCTTCTGGTGTCCTAGTGGCAAGAAGCTGTACTGCAATCCCAAAGGCACGCAGTTCAAGGCCACCAGACAGCAGCCAACTCTAAACCTTGGCAAGGTTGCACAGCTGGATGGCGGCAGAGCTGCTGTTCAAATGCCCTTGAACTTAAATGTCCCCTTCAGGCTTGCCCACTCTAGTTTGCTATCTGTGGGACAAAGACAAGCTATTCGCATCTGGTGACTGAAGTGTCTCCATCGTGTTTTCTCTAAAAGGCCGCCACAAGCTGGCGCTCCACCAGAACGAGACCTTGGGGATGAATTTGGTCTTGGGAGTCCCCATCAGCTCCAGATTCTCCTCTCAGCATTGAATGAAGGGCTGCAAGCCTCCCTCACTCTTTGACCCACCGACCTCCTGGCCCTGAAGCCATCCTCTCCCCTCCACAGAACTCCCCGGCTCCCACACTTCCAGAAAACCCCTGCTCTCTGCTCTGGGACGAAACCAGTCAAGAAGACATGTCCATGTCCAAGGTCAGTATTAGACATTCAGGACCTCAACTTGGTCAAGCAATGGCCTGGACCCGGGACTCCTGCGCAGGCTCCAAAACTTCACCTCCTGCTTCTTCTAAACACAGTTTCTCCTCTCCTTCATTCTCAGACATCACCACCGTTCCCACAGCCACAAACAAAAAAAAGCCCATTGCCAACTCGTGGATTCTGACTCATCGACTGTAGGGCAGAGCACGGCTGGTCCACAGGGTGGCCCACGGCTGTAAACCGTCTAGAAACTGACCACCTGGTCTTTCTCCCACAGAGTGGCTGGTGGATTCGAACTGCCAACCTTTTGGTTAGCAGCTGAGCACTTAACCACTGAGCCCAAGCCACGTTGTTGCTGCTGTTTGGCACCAGCAACTCAATTACCATTCACAGTGACCTTATGAACAACATAGGAAGCCTGCGCCATCCAGCCACATGCTCATAATCTCCACCGTGCTCAAGCCCATGTGCAGTTACTGTGCCGATCTGTCACACTGAGGGTCCTCCCCCCTGTTGTGCACTCCTTCTCAGAGAGCTCCAGTGGCTAAGAGGTTCAGAGTCGCACTGTCAACATGAAGGCTAGTGGTTTGAATCCACCAGCTGCTTCATGAGAGAAAGCTGAGCAAACTCCTCTGGTGAGACTTACGGTCTCTGAAAACCTGCTGGACCATCAGCTCGGAGTTGGTTCCATCTCAAGGGTACATAACGACAACAGCAATCTTTCCCAGTGGGCTGCCCTTCCCCAGGGATTGTCATGTTGTTGTTATATATGGTAGAGTCAGAACAGACTCATATTTGACCTCCAGCAGGTTTTCAGAGGGAGTAAACACATGGGTGGGGATTGCCCATCTTTCTCGCATAAAACAGCTGGTGGATTCTAACTTCATGCCTTGGGGTGAGCCGACTCCTTCCAACTACGCCACCAGAGCTCCCTAAAGATGGTCCTGGGGGCTCTACATTTATGCACCTTAAACCTCCCTTCTGCCCACTCTAACACTGCTGCGCTTCTGGGTGCTCGGACGCCTGCTGGACCCGTGCAGACTCCCTGTCCTCCAGGGCCCTGAGCTCTGTCGTGAGGGGACTCCATCTCCCCAGACCTTCTTGGCATCGCTATTTTGCTCTAACTGTTCCCTTTCACCATTATTTGGACACTGAGCTCAATTTCAGCAGTGAATCATCTCTCAACACTACCAGATGGGGCTGTCCCCTCTGCTCTCCTCATTTCCTAGGATTCTCTGGCTCGTTTTCCTGCCCTTTCCACTGGATTTCCATTTAACTCAAGCTGGGCCCCGACCTAAAATATGTGTGTGACTTGTGGGTACGGGTAAAATATTCCTTGCCAAGACCAGCAACCGCCATATGCCTTAATCAAGATTTCTTTCTTGTTGCTAAGGACCTTTGGCCTCATCGTTCCAACTCCTTGGAACAGAATTTATTTTACAAACATCTCTATTTCGCATGCCTCTGGACTCCAGTTGCTGGGTTCTGACTCTGCGCCTGGTGTTGCACGAGACACGTCCTAGCATATGCTCGTCATAGCCGATCAGGCATCCAGGGCAGATGCAAACTCAGAGCGCTAATTGCTTAACAAGCCGAGCACATGTGATTGCTGCAGCGCACAACGGGGTGATTGGGATCATGGGCTTTCGCGACCTTTAGCCCGGGTCTGAATCAAATTTCTGCCACTTGCTTGATCTGTGTCACTGACAGTCACACCAACTCTCCACGTCATAGGACTGTAAGATAATCTTCGTAAAGATATTTGCTCAACTAATGAATGATTGCTAACCTCTCCCAGCCCTCACTGTTGAGATGGAATATCCGCCTCTCATTTGCACAGTAAGTTCTACTAGGAACCTTCTTCCACGTCTGCTTGCTAATGTGTAGCACAGTTCCTGGGGTATGGTCATGTACCGTCTAATCCATGGCAAATCCTTAGTAGATGCATCAAACACAGAAATGAAATTATGAGTTAAGGATACAGTATGAGAATAAATGGATTTACAAAGTGTCTTGATAAAGTATGTTTTACATTATGGCTTTAACGGTTTGGTTTGGTTTGGTTTGGTTTGGTTTGGTTTGGTTTGGTTTGGTTTGGTTTGGTGTGTCTTGCCAAGCTAAGTGAAGCCTCTTTCTCCACCCTCTCCCCGTTCCTGCCTGCTCTCCACTACTTACCTGTCAAACACTCAATCAGTGGAGACTCAGAACCAGGTGCTTTGGACCTGATCATGACAGGAGCATCAACACTGAAGATCACCTTAGATTCTGGAACCTTCTCGAATTTCCGCATCACTGAAAAGAAAGCAGATTGATGAAATCTCACTCTGGGCAGATCATCTGTGGAGATATTGGGTCAAGAAGTTGCGTCTCAATGATTTGCTGCCCCGTCCTCACGGTTGTCAAGTACCATTGCATGGACTGTGACTCACAGTGGTCGTGTCCTCATTAGCATAAGTATTCCATCGTGTGTGTGTGTGTGTGTGTGTGTGTGTGAGAGAGAGAGAGAGAGAGAGAGAGAATGTGTGTGCATATGTGTGTAAATCGCTCTCTCTCTCTCTCTCTTTCTCTCTCTCATGACTGTTGAGTTGGAACCGACTTATAACTGACCCTCCAGTGTGTTATCAGAGGCTGTAAATCATACAGGAGGAGGCCGCTCATCTTTCTATTCAGGAGCAGCTGGTGGATTTGAACCATGGACGACCAAAAAACAAACAGACACGTCGTGTGAAAGGTGAGGCCAGAGTGCTCCCTGGAGACGAGGATGGTGAAGCGCCATCACTCATACTTTGGACATGTTGCTGGGAGAGGCTATTCTTCAGAAAAGGATATGATGCTTGGAAAGGTGAAAGGTCAAATAAAAAGAGGAAGACCCCCAACAAGACGGATTGACATGGTGGCCGCAGGAATAGGCTCAAGAATATCAGAAATGATAAGGATGGCACGATAAGACAGACTTCAGGTCTGTTGTGCATCAGGTAGCTATTGGTCATACTTGACTCAACGGCACCTAACAACAACAACAATGACAACAGTCTTTAGATCAGCAGCACAACTTCCTACCCACTAGGTCACCAGACAATAGTAAGGGTTGGCAAGGATGTAAAAAAATTAGAACACTGACGGTGGGACTGTAAAATGGTATAGATGCGGTGGAAATCTGTTCTACAGTTCTTTAAAAAGTTAAACATGAATTTTGGTATGGCCTAAACATTCCATTCCCAGTATAAGCCCCAAAAGGCATGAAAGAAGAGACCCACACAGTCCTACCCCTAAGAGGTTTACTGAGGTCAGAGCTGGTGATGAACTGGTATAAAATTTTTTTCTATATTTTTTAAAAAATAATTTTAATGAAAGTTTACAGAGACTTAGGGTTTCCAGTTATTCATTGCTGCACTTTTCTCCCTGCCCACCCCCTCCCCCCAATTCACTCTTCTCCTTGAAAAGTAAAAGAAAAACTCTCATTGTTATACAATTCCTCCCTCCAAGTCCACGCCACTGTACAGCCCTCATTCTGGACTCTTGTCATGACAACAATACCCAGTCATATATCCCCTTTAAACAGTTCTTTTCCTCATCTGTTTCAATGTGGTATACATCATTTCTCCCCTTTTTCTGACTTCCCTCAACCCTGATGTCAGTCCTGTTTTACAACAGTGGCCTTATGCAATATTTGTCCTTTTGTGACTGAAATATTTCACTCAGCATAATGTCTTCCAGGGTTTTTGGTGTTTTGTATTTTTGTTTGTTTGTTTTTATCTTTCAGCAATCCAGAACCATGGAGGGCTTTTCAGAGGCTCTGCAGAGACAGAGTTGCTTTCTAGCGTCATCTCTCTGGCAACGGCGCAGGAAACATGGGTCATGGGAGCAGGGCCGAGCAGAAGGCTGTGTTCGGGTGCTGGGGCAGTGATTCAGATGGGTGACCAGAGGCCTGAGTGGACAGGGGCTCTCTCTGGTCGATCCCTGCCTGGCGAGTGAAACAATCGACCTCTGAACACTTTGCTTTTCATTTAGGACAATGACCTTCAAGACAAGAGGGTAACTCTACAGAAATGGCCTCTCAAAGGAAAGAGGAAAGAATTCTGACGAGGCCGCTGACTTCCTGTTAACACCCAGACTCTTAACATGAAATATCCATGCAGCTTGGACCTTTGCTTAAGAAACCAGGACAAAGAGACTGAAGCCAAGTGGGGGTGATGTGTCAGTGAGCCCCTCTATCAATGAGCCCCTCGGGGAAGCATCATCAAAGTTAACCAGAGCGAAGCTGTTAATCATAGATGCTTCTGGTACTGCTGATAAAACAGCTTTCTGCTCCAGATGAACTCCAGAGGGAAGTCATGAAATGATTACAAAGTGCATATTGTAGTTCGCACTGTGGGGTCCTGACAAGCACTTCAGTAATAATCCTAGGACAGTCAAAGTAACAGGGGCACTGGGCAAATCGTCCCCTCCTGGGACGCTCCCACCCCTTTTCATTTCAGAAGACAGCAAGGGGCAGCCTTCTAATCTCTTAAAACGCCCTCTGCTTCTGAGTCACTCTGATTGCTCTCTCTGCCCAAGAGGAGGCCCAGAAACTGTCCATTAGAAACAAGTTTAAGCCTTCCATCGGATTTGCAGTGTATCCATGGGCACACACACACAAGCACACACACCACGAAATGTGTTGGCACTTTGCTAGAGGGAGGAAATGATGATTCTGACTGAAAGAAAATGATTATTTTTCCATTTGGATTTGCTCTGGTGCTTCATGTCATTAGCTGCAGTAATTTCCCTGGAGGATAGGCAGGCTACATGAGAGAGAGAGAGAGAGAGTTTAAAAGGGGGCGGGGGAGAGAGGAGAGAGAAAAGAGAAGAGAGAGGGGAGAAGGGAGGAGAGATGAGAAGAGAGAGAAGAATAATGAAAAACAGAGAGACAGAGACAGACAGAAAGAGACAGAGGCAGAAGAGAGAGACAGATAGAAGAAAACAAAGAGCTCTAGGTAGAAGCCCAGCCTGGTATGGTGGAAAGAATAAGGATTCAGGTATCAGACACCTACTATTAAATCAATTTCAAATCAGGCCAACCATACCCGCTCAAATCACAGTTATAGTGTTTGCTGAGATATAAGCAAGGAGTTCTGGTGGCACTGTTGTTAAAGCACCCAGCTGTTAAGCTAATGGTTGATGGTTCAAATCCACCAGTCACCCAGCAGGAGAGAGATGAAGATGTGCTCCCGGGAAGGTTCACAGCCTTGGAGAGCTGTGCGGTAGATCGTTGATCGATCCTATGGAGCTGACTTGATGGCAGTGAGCTTGTTTTTAAGTGATAGGGAGTCATGTTGAAGTGTTGATTAAGGGACCGGCTGACAATGGAATGGTTGGTGGTTTGAAAGCACCCAGTGACTTTATGGGAGAAAGACCTGGCCATCCGCTCCCAGGATCACAGTCAAACTATGTGGGGCAGCTGCACTCTGTCCACTGGAGCTGTGATGAGTCTGAATTAAAGTGCAGTCAGCCAACAACCACATGCCATAGGGTCAAGTCGCTGAAACGCCCTTCATTCCAGTCTCCTCAGTTAAAAGCCCAGGGACACCAGCATCTGCTCATAGCTCCTGCGATGCTCACAGGAAGTGCCCGGCTCAGTGCCAGCATACAGTATGTCCACCCTGATGGATCCACCCATCCCCTTCACTTAGAGGCTCCTCTAGTCAGCCACAAGACCTTACGCTTATGACCCCTGAGGACTGAGAGGAGGGCAGGAGAAAAGGACCTTGACCGCTGTCACAGACAGGGAAAGGCCTGGCACTGGTGCCTCCCACTGCTGCCCCTTCTCGTGCCCAGGACAAGCTCATTACCTCTCTGGGCACATCATGGCTTATGCAGCCAACACCCTTACAATTACTCAAGCCAATTCATTGCTGTTCAGTCAGAACTGATTCATAGCTGACCTTCATTGGTTTTCAGAGGCTGTAAATCACACAGGAGAGAAGATTGCTCCAATTTTCCCCCACAGAACGGCTAGTGGGTCTGAATCGCCAGAAAGGCTCAGCCTTTGGGTTAGGAGCACAACTCCCTAAGTATGGCTCCACTAGAACCCCCTGACACCCCTACAATACAGGCATCCATGTGCCCGTTTCACAGACGAGACAACAAAGTGAGTAGCTGACATGTCCATGACCACGCCGTACCAGGGTCTAGCCCTTCTGCCCTGTGGACTCCCTGGTACACCTTGTGTTGTGGGACCCTAGTTCACCTGTGTCTTTCCCAGAAACCCCGCTGGACCACCATGGTCAGTCCAATGTGTGCAGTGGATAGCTGTTGACTTTATGGACAGTAATGGTATTTGCAGCATCTGAGGGACCGGCAGGGACTACCGGGCACTGAGGATCAGAGGGGCAGAGTGCCTGGTTCTAGGTCTCCAGCGGCCCAGCTGTGGAACGAGGACTGCCCCCCCCCCCAGTCTTTGAACAGCAGCCGCTGGAGGGAAATGAGCTGGCAGGCTCCAAGGAGGCCAGCGGCCAGCAGAGAGGACTCTCAGGGATTGGTTCATGTCTTCCCTGCTCAAGGCTTAGGGATGAGAGTCCGAGGAGGCTTACTCCTCAGTGTTCAGAAGCAAGAAGAAGGAAAGAGCAGAGCACTGACAGTTGGCGAACCTCTCCACGCCACCAAGTCCACTGCCTTCAAGTCGATTCCAACTCACAGCAGCCGCTTCCCCACAGAGCAGACTTGCCTCAGAGGGTTTCCAAGGCTCCAGAATGCCCCATCTCTCACCTGGGAGCAGCTGGTGGGTCAACACCTTTAAGTTGGCATCTGAATTCTTCAACCTCTGGACCACCAGAGCTCTTTCAGTGGATCTAGGTGACAAGTGTCCATTGTCCTGTCCTTCAACTATCATGTATCTTTGAGAGTGTGTGTGTGTGTGTGTGTGTGTGTGTGTGTGTGCACTGTGAGTGACATTTGCAGAACAATTTGTTTTTCACCCAATCATTCATACAGACTTTCCTTACGGCATCAATTACAGTCCCTACATTCTAACAGCACTCTCCCCACTCCCTCCCTGGCATTCTCATTTCCAGCCACCCTTCTTGCCACCTGACTTTTTAAAATGTTGTCTTCTGATCTTGCATAACTGATCATTATAAGTGGCAAGTCCCTCCCTGGTGTTACTGGCCACCTCATAAGTCTACTCTTTGGCTGACATTCGTGTACATTTCATATTTTTCCTGTCTCTCTTCCTTCATCCAATCCCAGGTCACGGTTGCTGAGGTGACACTTACTCAGGCATTGAGACTCAGTGAGAGGGGCTTCTGTTTCCAGCCCAGGCAGTTTCTGCCCCTCAGGGTCGACACAGAAGGCCTTCCCATTGCTGCTGTCTGCCTGCTGTGGCTGGTACTGGCCATCTTGGTCACACTGCAGGCCTGCCTCATTCCTCTGACAGCTGGTGACACCTGAAATCAGTACAGACAGGACATGGAGTTAGCACGGTCCCCTCACACCTGCCATACCTATACTCATTTCTCTGACACTCAAGTCACCCCTTAACCCACTCTCCTGTAAAGTTCTTCAGCAACCTCAGTGTAACCAAACAACAGTGTCCCGTGCCCCCTATTCTGGCCAGTAAGGCCTGGGAGCTGACCCACTCTTGCCCTAATCCCTGCCCACTGGCCTGTGCCTCAGTCACAGCAGCCCACTCCCCACACCAGTAGCATCGGTCCCCTCTGACATCAGCACATCACATCAAGCCTTCCTAAGGAAGAACACTGATAACAAGAAGAGCCACTGCAAACGCACTACGTCCCGAGCCTGTGCTCAAGATGAAGTCCAATGGTCAAGGGCACCATGGGCCTGAGCAGGTCTTCTCCAGGAAGGAAGGGAGACCTTCCACCTGCACGAAGCCTTCTGACTCTTATTAGAATGACCTCACAGCCTGTTATTCTCCTGACCCGGAACCCTGGCAGCACAATGGTTATGCACTCAGATGCTAATCAAAGTGTCAGAGGGGTGAAACCATGTGCTACTCCGTGAAAGCAAAGACTTGGCAATCTTCTCCAATAAAGGTGACAGGTAAGAAAAATCTACGGGGCAGTTCTAATCCATCACATGGGGTCAACAGTGAAGATTAACCAAGTACACAGCCACATATCTGAGCACTCCTTAACAATTATGAGTCCCTTATCAAAGAAAGCATCTTATTATCCTTGGACTAATTTTTCTCAATTGTAGACACCGTTCAGCTCTTAATGATGGTTTTGCCCTATGTAGATACAATTTCAGACATGAAAAGATGTGAAACAAGAGCACGTGGTGGGAGCTGGCTAGGAAAACCCAGCGGTACCCAGGTGACTAGTGAACAGGCCACGTGAAGTCACATGACATCCCGGAAAGCTGCAGGAACATACAGTGTGTCCCAAAGAGAAGGATGAGTGACAGAGAACACCAGCCGCACTCGGAAAGCCTTTTGCCCTTCATCTGATAAGGAGACTGACGCATCATCACAAGTTTCAGAATCAGACAAAACCAAGTTCAAAGGCCAGCTCTTTCAACTGAGTGACTTTCTGGCTCAAATCACCTTCCTTCTCCATCAAGCAATCATGATTTAGCTGATGGTGCATTGAGAAGTCTGAGTGGTCAATACAGGTCAAAGCCCAGAGGCTGGCAGGAGGCAGCTACGTAAACATGGCGCTCCTTTTGCTGATTGTGCCTCTCCCCCCCCCCCCGGAGATGACTGGCAAAGTAGGGAGATATTTTCGATTGTCACACTGTGGACAGTGCTATTGACATCTAGTTAGGTAGAGATTGAGATGGTAGTAAACTCCTCCAATGAACCAGCCAAACACCCCTCCCCTCCCATGGGACTCAACAGTGTCAACTTCAGGAAAGCCTCGTGGGTCCATTTTCAGTTTCAGGGTCCTCTTTGTAAGCAGGACACTGGAGAACTTACACTGAGTCAGGCTAAAAGCTCCAACAGACACGGTCGTTCTGCCCACAGGGCATGGGACGCAGGCAGAGCTACCTGCTTGCTCTTGGTAGAATCCCACAGGACAGGGAACACACAACTCATCCTGGAAGTAACTTCCTTCAGGACATTGCACTACAAAATAAAAAATAAACAAAGAAATGGGGTTAAAGAGCAGGCCACCAATGGCCAAGTTCTCGACCCTATTTGGGTGAGTGGTGATTTGGGTCAGAAGAGCTGGTGAGCAGACAGCGGAAGTGTAACCGCGGGCCTCTTCTTGTCTGGAGCAAAGCAGTTTTTGTTGTTGCTGTGTATTATCGAGTCAGACCAACTGAGGCTTGGACGGCCCTCGTCATCTGAGGAACCAACACTTGAGACTTTTAAGAGAACAGGAAACCTCCTTTCTACGAAGATGGCATCAAAAGCGAAGAAGGAAGGGCCTGCCCCTCCCAAAACTGAAGCCAAAGCAAAGGCACTAAAGGCCAAGAAGGCGTCCTGAGGGGCATCCACAACCAAAAAAAAAAAAAAAAGATCCACACGTCACCCACCTTCTGGCGGCCTAAGACGCTGAGACTCCAAAGGCAGCCCAAATACCCCTGGAAGAGCGCCCACAGGAGAAACAAGCAGGACCACTATGCCATCATCAAGTTTCCCCTGACCACTGAATCAGCCAGGAAGAAGATAGAAGATAACAACACACTTGCTTGTGTTCCTTGTGGGTATCAAGGCCAACAAGCACCAAATTAAACAAGCTGTAAAGAAGCTCTATGACATTGACATGGGCCAACACTTTGATCAGTCCTGATGGAGAGAAGAAGGCCTATGTTCAACTTGCTCCTGATTGTGATACTTTGAATATTGCAACAAAATTGGGATCATCTAAACTGAGTCCAGCTGGCTAATTCAAAATATAAACTTTTCTCACCATGGGAAGGAAGGAAGGAAGGAAGGAAGGAAGGAAGGAAGGAAGGAAGGAAGGAAGGAAGGAAGGAAACTAGGCAGATCTAGGAGAAGAGAATTCCATGCAGAGTGAACAGTCAGGGCAGAACCCCTGTCATAGAAAGGAGTTTGGACAGTTAAGAGAAAAGCTAAGGCCACTCAAGCTCAGTAGCCCAAGGGAAGCATAGACAACAGCCAGGAAGATGAGGTCCTTCCCTAGGTCTCCACGAAAACTTCCCAAAGTGACTTACACTCACAGCTGTGGAGTAGGAATCAGCTCACAGCTGACCATCTAGTGGGTGTGCAGAGGCTGTAAATTGCACAGAGGAGAAGCCTGTCTTTCTTCCTCAGAGCCACAGGTGGTTTGAACGTGCAGGGAGGTAAAGCCTTTGATTTGGCAGTGCATCTCCCTACAGACCATGCCACCAGAGTGCCCTTCCCCAAGGGAAGGGCAAAGCATAGGACAGTGGACTATGTGAGCTTTCGGGGTGGGTGGCACTTGGCACCCTCTCTCTGTACCCCAGCAGCTGGACTTCGCTGAGGCTCCATTTCCTCCTCTGTAAGTAGGGATTAGTAACTTTGTCTCCGTGGAGCGGGCTGGCATGTATTGTACACTGGTTTCATATATGTGCCCGTCACGTGCTTGTGGAGGCCCCTGAGGGCCTTCCCTGCAGCCAACCTCTGTCGCTCCCTCCATGCAAACACGATGGGCCTTCTCTGGGAGGTGCGATTTCAGTGAGCAAACAACACCCCTAGTGACGCATATAACTCATGAACACTGTGAGGTCAGGGACCAGGGAGGGGGAAGGATGACCTTGACAGTGAGCCTACTTCTATTTGGTGCCCCATGCACTTCACTTGGCCAACCAGAGCCCTCTGTGACCATCTCTGCTTCCCCTCCCATCAGACTCTCAGTGTTTCCTGAGCCCTCTGATTTGAACACTCCCAAGCCCTCCCAGTTTGCCTCCTCTGTATGGACTTGGAGAAACGATGAAAGTTATACAAGTGCTCAGGTCTTTTGTTCATAAGGTCGTTACAAGTCATCTACGACTCAATAGCACTTAACAACAATAACAACAACATAGAGCTCAGTTGGCCTAGTGGACAGAAAGTGATGCTACCAAGCCAAAGGTGGGTGCTTTAGTGTGCAGCCTTCAGGCCTGGTTTTAATTGTTTCTGGTCAAACTAGTGGCATAGCACTGGTTTGTCCATTTGCTGTACAGAAGTAACTCATGGTTGCTGTGATGCTAAACACTGTGACACTGATGTGTCAAATGTGATAATGGTTACCCATGGTAGACAGTGCTTGCTGGAGCTCCCCTTTTAAAACAAGCTTGGAAGCAGGAGTGGCATCCACTTCTGAAATAGTTTGCCTCCAGAAACTCTATGGACTTGGAGAAACGATGAAAGTTATACAAGTGTTCTGGTCTTTCATTCATAGGGTCGCTATGAGTCGTCTACAACTTCACAGCACTTAACAACAACAACAATAATACGACAGCATGCTGTTGGCCTGGTGGTAAGGCATTGCCAGCCCATGTGTTCATGCTTTGAGGGCCCAAGTTACTCCAAGGGAGAAACCCAGGCACTTTCCTTCCATGCATTTACAGGAAGTACAGGAATTTGACCACACTGATTCTGACGGCTTAGGAAAATGGATAAGAGAAGTAGAGGCCTCTTTTCTGATCCTTTCCTTGATTCAATGCTGTAGTCCCAAGTTTTCCAAATATCTTCAAGAAGAAATGAATTGTTACCCAATGAAGGTGAAGCATCTTGCCTGCTCCAAAGAACTATTACCATACGCCTGATACTCTAGCCTGTCTCCTATGTCCATGAACACAAGGCTTCCATGCATTATATCCATTTCACAGAAGGCAATGCTGAGCATTAGTTAGTCATGCATGCGTTCCTCACATACTGATCTGCAAAGGGAAGTGAGGAGGTAAAATTGAAGAACACGCCAAGAACGCTGCTGAACATTCTAATGAGAAACGTATCACCCCTCTTCTTCCCATATTAACGTGGAATAACAGTAATTCAAGGTCAAGGTAATGTGGTCTATGAGGTGGCACAAGTGAGAGCTGAACCCTCATCTTTTTTGAATGTTCCAGCCAGCATTCCAAAGCTGCCTTCCCCCCTCAAAGAAGGAAGCACCAACTTGTGGGTCGTGTGGAGTAGAGACGATAATCTCTCGTCTGGTACATGCTTGACATTTCTGAGTAAATCAGAAACTTGAACCACATCTTGGAAACTGAGCTGTGTTGTTCCGGTCCACCACGAGCAGCAAGTAACATCCTCCCTCAGAGGATGAAGTTTCATTACTTCTATGAGTCAGGTTCTTGACGATCATCTCTAACACGTCAAACCCCAAACTGTGACTATGGATGTAAGCAGGTGGTCTTCAAAGGTATTGACAAGGGACAGTTAGGTCTTCTCATACGGTCTGAGCCGTCCTGCCTCCAAACCTTCAACCTTCATGAAGGATCAGAAACACTAGAGCAGGGAACTGGCTTTTGCGTGAAGCCCATCAGTGCCAGCCTCTGACTGTGCTCAAGGAACACATCCCTTTCCACCCACCATTTCTCTGTCTCTGACATCAAGTCTTTACATGCAATTGAGTCTCACCTACCACCATCCTTCCTTCAGCGAGGCAATCATCCCAGAAAGAGTTGAAGCCACTGTTACCGCTGAGTGCACCTCCTTCAATAAAATCACCCTATTGAAACCACTGGGAAAGTAATCTTTGTCCTCAGTTTCTCCTTTTTAAAATAGGACAATTGGTCTTGCTGAGTTGGAGTTTCACAAACACTTGGGTCATGCTACTTCTCTCATGCCCGCACGTCCCCCAAACTGTGACAGCAGGTTTCCGATGAAGAAAAACCTCTGTGTGTAACTGGGCTCTTTCTCCCTTAGCGGCTCTGTACCCCACACATGGCCTTGTCATTCACCAACTTCAAATTCTTCCGTGGCACCATTCACTCGTCTAAGCTCCTCATCCGAACCTCTCATGGTCTGGTCCCTTCCTACCTCTCTTATCACCCCGCCCCCTCCATCTCTGTCACTTCTCTTGTCTGAACAGCGATCCTCACTCTCACCTGTCAAGACTTCATGCCAGTTCTGTCAACCTCTCCTCTGTGTGGAAGGCCGGAGTTCTTTCCCCGTGATACTGGAGCTGTTAATTAGCTTCTCCCATAAAACGTGAGCTCCTTGAAAGTAGGGGCTGTGACTTACCTTTCCTAACTTTACAAGATGGTATTTGATATTGTCATTTGAAACCTTGGGTGGATGGATGGATGGATAGATCAATGAAAGATGCATGGGTGGATAAGTGAGTGAGTTAAAGGGTAAATAGAGAAATAGGTACATGGACGGAAAATAAATACGTGAGTCAATGGATAAATAGAGAGGTGGTTGAATGGAAGGAAGAGAGAAGAGAAGAAAGGAGGGAGGGAGAAAAGGAGGTGAAGGTGGAGGGAGCAGGAAGAAGACATCATCTAACATATTACTTTGTGGGGAAATCCACAGGGGACCAGTTCTATTTTAAGAAATTACTCAGACAAGAATCTCATAATGAAAGTTTACAGAATACTCCTGGGCCTCCACAAGAAAAAGACTGAGAACCCAATTACAAAATTGGCAAAAGACATGGAAAAAATTTTCACAGAGGAAGACAATCAAATGGCCAATAGATATATGAAGAAATGCTCTAAATCACTGACAATAAGAGAGATGCAAATCAAAACCACAGCGAGATGCCCTCTCACCCTAGTAGCAGTTGCAAAGTTTAACAGGACAGCAAGTAATAAATGTTGGAGAGGATGTGGTGAGATAAGAATTCCTTTACATTGTTGGTGGGATTATAAAATGGTCCATCACTCTGGAAGGCAGTTTGGCACTTCCTCAAAAAGCTGAACATAGAAATTGCATATGACCCAGCTATTCCATTGCTTGGAATATAACCCAAGAAAATGAGAACTGAAGCTCAAATGGAAGCTTGTACATCAATGTTCATAACAGTATTATTCACCTTCACAAGAACATACAAACAGTCCAGATGAACACAAATGAATGGATTGAGAAGTTGTGGTACATTCATACAATGGAATACTATGCAGCACGCAGGAGAAATCATTTTGTAATTTACTACCTAACCTGGACGTGACTGGATAACATTATGCTGAGTGAACTAACTCAGTCCCACAAATACTGGACAAATACAAGGACACATACTGTATAAAATCATTATTGTAGAATGAGTATGAGGATCCAAGATGGGGGGAGGGGAGGAAATAAAGGGGTGAGGATGGGGGAGGGTGTTAATCATAGGGCTGCACAATTTGATGGGTGGGTGTAGTGAAGGAAATGGGAAGGATCTTTTGTGAAAAATAATGTATTCAAACTTTGTAAATAAATCAGAACAAAATTTTTTTAAAAAAGAAATTGTAGTGAACAGATGAATGGTCTGGAAGGGAAAATGCAAAATTCAGATGATTACTTTGTGATTCTACCAAATGGATCGATCTATTACAGGAGGGCTGCCAAAGGTAGTTCTAGAGAAAGCCATCTGGACACCAGGGGCCAAAGCACACATGTAATTGACCCAGTAGGGTTAACAAAGGCCTCCTTGCCCTGCAGTGTTCAGCTCCCTGGATCAGGACACCACACCATCACAATTCACATGGGATGGCTCGTCCCCTGTCCCCTGGGTCATGTCCTCCATGACAGCCGTCCAGATGAGCCCTCCTGAGGGAGAACATGCTAGAATCCTGCTTCCCATCCAGAGGACAAAGCTCTGCTTGTAATCTCACACGTGTAGTCCAGATGTGGCTGCATTTTACAAGGAAGAAGAGCCAAGAACCGTGGAACAAAGAAACCTGGGGCCGTGATCTCACTAAGAATCCCTGGACTGAGAAAGTAGATGGTGAGCCTGGAGAACAGAACAAAAACTTGGAGTGAGACCCATCCAATTTTAGATCTCAGCTCCGCCCTCGAACAGAGCCCTGTCTCACGTGTCTCCTAGGCACCCGCTGTGCGCTGTACATCAGTTGTTTCACGTGATTTTCACAATAAACTCATGGAGTACCCATTGCCATGGAATTCTGAGTCATGGCCCAGGGCCTGGCAGTGTCCTGCCCTGTTTTACACAAGGTCACCAGGAGTCAGAGGTCATAAACAACCTGACAACAAAAAACACTAACAACAGAGAGTGACAGTGGACCTACCACATCCTGGTGAATCCTGACCCACTGAGTCCGTGCTTATGGCTGAGACGCTGTGGAATCCTTCCAAGCACCCGAACCATGCCCTGGGAGAGGTATCAAAGCTGTCCCCGTGGAGGAAGCGGATGGAGGGGTCAGCGGGGAATGTCTTGGAATCTAGATGTAGCTGGAACTCGCCGCTGTGGATCAGATCTACAAAGCGTCCGACGAGATCCTTGCCCACAAGGGCCTCCTCTGTAAGACACAAGGTGGGGGAGGTGGGAGGGTCACCTCGTTGTCCTCTGTAAGACAGGTTGGGGCAGCAGGAGGGTCATCTCATTGTTCTCTGTAAGAGTCAAACATCTGGTGTCACATTCTACAGAGAGAGAGAAACTGAGACCCAGAGAAAAGAGTGTTCTCTGGTAGAGAAACATAACCAGGACATCTGCCCAAGGCCCCATTACCAGCTGTTTTTTGTGGATGTGTGTGACACAGAAGATCCCACGTTTTTCACAATTCATTATTCAGATCCACATCCATCTCAAGCTTTGGTGAGCCACCTGACATCTCTGAGTGTCCGTTTTCTCCACCTGCTAGGTGGGCCTAGGACTGCCTTTCTTGTGGTTGTTAAAGATCACAAGAGATAATTCATGAAAAAGTGTTATGCGAGGACAGCAGTGCAGAATTCCATGACAGGTTTCATCTCAGCGCTGAGAGGACCTCCAGCTGTGTCCACAACCTTCCCTAGGAAGGAGGGGCAGGAGTTCCACACCAGAAGGTGAGGGAAGTCCCAGGTCAGTGCATTCATGCTACTGTGGGGCTCTGGAGAGCCAGCCCATGGCCCCAAACACAGGCACCACTGCACAACGGAAGCCAGGAATGGACCCCTCTTGATGTGGCTGCCTGCTGGGAGCTGGACAAAGAACAAGGATGACAGAAGCATTGATGTGTTTGAGCTGTGTTGGAGAAGAATGCTGAATAGCCTCTGGAATGGCAAAAGGACAAACAGGTATGCACTGGAGAAAGTGCAACCAGAATGTTCCTTGGAGGCCAAGGTGGGGGAGCTTCGTCCCACATATTTTGGGCATGTTGTAAGGAAAGTCTATTCCTTGGGAAAGGATATCATGCTTGGAAAGGCGGAGAGTCAGCAAAGGAGATGACGGCCCTCAATGAGATGGACCGAAGCAGTGTCTGCGGCAGTGGACACCAACGTGTCGAGGATGATAGGGACGGAACAGAGCTCACGTCTGCTCTTTGCAGGGTTGATAGGAGTCAGCCTCTACTCAAAGGCAACACAACAACAACAACTGTGGCTCCCATTGCTATATCGTAATGGGGAGTCGGGGGTCGGGGAGAAGAAGGCCCTCAGGGAGACAGATCTCCCCCTCGAAGCCTCTGGGTCCATTTCCCTCTTTTCAGTAGCATAATCCAAAACAAAACCATCCTCCACTGAGTTCCCAAACTGCCGGTGTTTACAGGGGGAGGCTGCCCCTATTACTCCCAGGAGCTGCTGGGGGATTTGAACTACACTAGTCTCCTTATCAACCATGTCACCAGGGCTTCTTAAAGAGCGTGTGTAATAGTGTCAGTGGGCTGAAGGGTTTGCAACTAGAAGCTGGTGTGGTGAAACCTATAAATAAAAAGGCTTCCCTGACACCATGCCCCTCTCCTCTTCATAACACGCTCTGTGCCCCGAAAATAAAGGGAATTAAAAGACATCCCCAAAGCACAGTTGGGATATTTGAGGCAGATAACATTATTCAGCTGACATAAAACTGTTTCATAACTAGGGAGCTCAGGTGGCCTAGTAGGTAGGGAATTACACTGTCAACCCTAAGGGCAAGCAGTTCAAATCCACCAGCTTCTCCCTGGCAGAAAGATGAACACATTCCTCCTGGGATTTCCAGTCCCTGAAAACCTGTAGGAGGGTGAGCTAGGAGTCAGTTCCGACTCAGTGCCTTGAACCACCTCAGCAAACTACAGCTCTGAGTCTGTGGATAAGTTTAGGGCTTTGTCCCCTTCAGGTGCCAGAGCCACCCTTTCTCAGCAGACCCCACAGGAGATTTAGAGTGGACACCGTGACCCCAGGTGAGGAGATAAGGACACTGAGGCCCAAGAGGCTGCACAGTGTCTTCCAGGCCGCAGTGCCGCAGGCATACCGACGTCGTGCAGGTCGGGCAGCGAGGCCGCTGGGATGTCCTCCAGCCGAGCTCGCCACGTCACGTTCACGCCCAGTCGCTCCACGGTCAGACACTCCACCTGCACAGTGGACTCGTCACACACAGCGATGGAAACCAGGGTCCCGAATGTCATCACCTACATCAAGACAAAGGTGTTCAGGCGAGGGCACAGAGCAGGAAGCCAGCGGCAGGGCCTACAGCGGGCCTTGAACTCACATTACATCCTTTGATTCTGTTACCAGTACAACTTGAGGAGACAAGCCAGTATTAACCTTCTTTTTCCATTAAAAAACCTCGGATAATTGGAACAACTTCCCTCAGAGGCACAGCTTACAAAGATGCAAACGGAGGACGAGCTGAGCTTAATGTGTCCAAAGCCAAGTGTCCCCAGTGGTGGCACCACATTTCACTGGTCAGACAGCTGCAGGGCCTCTGCTTCCCTGCTCACAATACCCACATCCAACAGGACGCAAATTCTCCTGGACCGCAACACCCATAGCTACCACCAACTCCTCTTTTTTTCTACACAACCAAATCTCCCCTGCCCGCTGTGGGTGGCCATTATAGTATGCGGATGGACTCCCCAGGGTGAGCAGATGGGCTCCCCATGGTGACTGGACAGACTCCCCAGGGTGACTCGATGGGCTCCCCAGGGCGAGTGGATGGGCTGCAGGTTCCTGAAGGGCAGGGCTCGTGTTAGGATGGGTGTCGGATGGATGATTGCGAATCCTAGCGAGCCCCAATCTTGCCACAGGCCGAAGGTTCTAGAGAGCTTCAAGCTGCTCTCTCTACACCGTCTGCTTTGAAAGTCCCCATCAGTGATGATCTGTATCACGTGGCCATGGTCCTCAGAGTAACGTCAATGTGCTGTGTGTCATAAAGCCTAGTCTCCCTGGTGGTAGTGGGGCAGGATTAGAGGCAGGTATGGCATGATCTGATGGAGTGGACGTCTCCCCAGGAGTGTGGCCTGCGTCGAATAATGAGTGGACTCTAGAAAAGCTAGAGAACTTCCTATGTGCGTCTCTACCTACAGAAGGGCCTGCCATACTTGCTGACCTTGGGCTGTCCGCCTCCACAGTCATTCCACCTGCTCACAAGTTGACCTCATGAGCCTCCTTTCTGCGGTGTGAACCATGGACAGGGGACAGAGTGGCCTTTACTCGCTCACACGCATATGTGCTTTCGATAGAGAGATATAGATAGATGATAGATAGATAGATAGATAGATAGATAGATAGATAGATAGATAGATGAGAGAGAGATGATAGATAGAAAGATATACATATATCCTTTTCTCTATCTTTCCATCTCTCTCTCTCTCTCTCTCTCTCACACACACACACACACACACACACACACACACACACACATTTATCTACGTTGTTGTCATCAAGGCAGAACTGACACATAGCTGAGGCTCCAGTGGATTTTCAGAGGCAGTAAATCACGAGAGGAGGTTGCAGGTTGTTGAGAGGGAGGGCCAGGGAACTACTGGTAAGAACGCCCCCTCTGCCGCTCTGTGATGAGCCTTGTTGATGGCGCTCCCGCTGGGGTCCCTTTCCCCACTGGGGAAAAGGAGTGAAATTCTAGATCCACTCAGTCCTCGAGGTTCTCCGGCACGGCCACCCTGGGCTCCGGGAGAACCTTACCTGGGAAGGCCGGAACTCACCTGGATCTGGCAGAAGCCGCGGGCGGTCAGCTCGTCCAGCAGAAAGGTGCGGAAGGCCTGCAGCAGGCCTGCGTAGTCAGCACTGCACATCTTGCCCTGCGGAAGCTGAAGCTGGAACTGTGCTCTGGTCTGCACGGTCTGCCACGGCTGGAGCCCTGTGAGTGAGAGCACCCGGGTCAGCAGGCAGCGGGCAGCGGCCAGGACTGCGGGGCCCTTTTTTTTCTGGTCTAGTGTCCCACTGCATCCATGTCATTGCTGTTGTTAGGTGCCCTCAGTTCATGTATGACTCATACTGACCGTATGAACAACTGATCCGAACTCTGCCCTACCCTGGCCAAGTTCATCATCTCTGACACGCTCAAGCCCATTGCGGCAGTCACCCTGTCAATCCATCTCTAAGGGTCCGTGGCGTTTCTGTATCTGAAACACATTTTTAACTATTTTCTAGATAGGGGCCCTTTTAGCCCAAAGAGCATTGCAGCAATTCCTGCCCTTTGACACTAACACCAGCTGCAGTCCCATGGCACTCAGCACAGTGTCTGGGTCTCTCTCAGCTGCCTGCCCCCTGCGGTGGTGAAGAAACTGCTAGATTCTAGATGCCCGTCGAGTCCTGTCTGCCCAGGAGTACCCACCACTATGTTCTGCCAGGGCAGGCATGGCCAGAACGCCCAGACCCCGGGCAGACATGGTCAGAATGCCCAGGGCAGTCATGGCCAGAATGCTGAGGGCAGGCATGGCCAGAATGTCCAGGGCAGACATGGTCAGAATGTCCAGGGCAGGCATGGCCAGAGTGTCCATCTGGGGCCAAGGCAGGCACAGCCAGATGCCCAGGGCCCGGGCAGATGTTACTGTTAGGTGCTGTGCTATCAGCTCTGACTCACAGCCACTCTGAGCAGCCGGAGGAAACACAGCCCGCCCTGCACGCCCTCACAGTCACTGGACACTTGAGCTGCAGCTGCAGCCATTGTCAGTCCATCCCCTTGAGGGTCCTTCTTTGCTGACCCTCCATTTTACCAGGTGTGATGTCCTTTGTCCAGGGACTGGCCAGTCCTGGTAACATGGCCAAAGTATGCGAGCCGATATCTCCCCCTCCTTATTCCTAAGGAGCATTCCGGCTGCAATTCCTCCCAGACAGATGTTTGCTCTTTGGGCAGGCCATGACTCAGAGCCTTCACCACCACCACGGACAGGCACAGGCCACAGCAGTCTGCACCTCGTGTTTGCCTAGAGCTGAACCCTGGACGTCTAGATGGACATGACAAGAAGCTGATATCACAGGACCCCCTCCGCCCACCCCGGAGCCGTTCCACATTGTAACGGCCAGTATGATGCCCAGAGCAGCTGCCTGCTGGGCAGTCGCAGCCACCTGAATCTAAGATGCCAGGACAGCTCAGAGTGGTGACAGTTCTCCAAGGACACACATCCCCAGAGAAGCTGTGACAGAAGTCAGTCTTGGAGCCTTGAAGCACGAGTGCTCCTTCTAGAAGCTGCTTCACCGGGGCCCTCTCTGCACTGTGCACATAACTGCACCATTTTTTTCAGAAAATGAAGTGATCATGTTCCCTCTCAGTCCCCAGTCCTTTAGGCTGACGAAGCAAGAGCCAGGACACCATCTCCAAGGCCACTCACTCTGACAGGCCTGGGGCAGGGGTGGCTCTGCCTCCCAGCGTCCACTCTCCACGCTGCACACCAGGGGCCTCAGCGGGAAGGCACTCTGGTAGCCCTGACGGCACCTCAGCTGGCACTTCTGGGCGGCAGCAGCTCCCTGTCCCGAGGGCTCCTCGCACAGGATCGTCCCACCATCAACATCAGCTCTGCCGAGCGGGAGTGGGCACAGCGGGCCTGGGGGAAGAGGAGATGGGGTGCTGTGAGAGCCGGACAACACGTGGGAGGACAGGGGGCTTCCCTCCTGCACCTACATGCTCAGGGCTCCACTCAGCCCGCACCCCATACCAGGCCTGTCTGCTCAGCCCTCACCCCATACCAGGCCTGTCTGCTCAGGCCTCACCTGCCCCCGTACCTCCATTCCTGCAAAGACCTTCCTCTTTCACTTTCTACAGATACCTGCTAGTCAACCCTGAGGGGCACAGGCCCTTGACACAGGGACTCCCTCAGGAGGGGGTCCCTGACTTACTCTGACAGGTAGGCTGGCTCCCAGTCACTCGGGTCCCGGGCACCTGCTCTCCACTGGTCAGGACACACCAGCAGCTGCCAGTGGCCGGTTCACACTGCACCGAGGAGAAGCTCCCATCCCCTGCCCTGCAGACGGGGACGTAGCCTGGGCCAGCTCTCTGTTCAAGGACTCTGCTCTTGACCCCCTCACAGAGGCTCGGGCCTGGGAATAGGGCAAGACGGACAGGTGGCTCAAGACACCACTCCTGTGCTTCTCACTTTGCCCGCCCAGCTGTTCCTGCCTCTGCCGCTGTTCACTGTCTGCTGTCACAACCCCTTCGTGTCAACCAGCACTGAAGCCCCGACTCACCTGCATCCATCCATCCACCATCACCTGTTACAATAACCATCACTCACCTCTACTCGGTACCACCCACCTCTACCCAATGCCACCCGCGCCTACCCAATGTAACCTACACCGAGGTCCTCACCCACCTCCATCCAGTGTCACCCACCACCACGCAATGTCACACACCACCACCCATGCCACCCGCGCCTAACCAATGTCACCTACACTGAGGTCCTCACCCACCTCCATCCAATGTCACCTACCACTACGCAATGTCACCCACCACCATAGCCACCACCCACCTCTATATAATATCACCCAGCATCAAAGGGCCCACCCTCCTCCATCCAGGGTCAACCCCTTCAGGGCTCTCCAGGTGGCTAGGACTGTCCCCTCCCACTGGATAGGGGACTCCCACGGGACTGCTGAGCTCTGTACCCTCCCCATCACCTGCCATCAGAGTCCTGAAGACAGTGTTAGCAAGTGGGTGGGCAATCAGATTTGGGTAATGACGGTGACAGGGGAGGTAGAAAGTACTTCCGAAGCCATGGGAGGGGTCTGAGCTATGGAGAGAGGCCAGGGGGCTTCCTGTAGGGCAGGCCATCCAAGGATGGGATCATTGCCCACATCAATGGGGACCAAGAAGGGATGTGCTTTATAGTCCAATGCACAGCCCACTCTCAGCTGCACTTGCTTCCCCAAGGAGGGGGATAGCACCCCTGCTTCATCCCTGGAGGTCAGTGAGGTTGGGGGCTGTGTCCAGCGCTCACCGGAGAAGGCAGGGGCAGAAGGACCATGGGGACTTACACTGGCCACGGCCGTCCAGAGCCTGGAGCTCCAGCTCGCCCTCTCCCGTCGCTGGGTCCACACACCACGTGCCAGCCTCGGAGCCCTGCAGCCGGGCATACTCTCCTGTCTGAAACAAAGTCAAGGCCATGTCAGCTTGGGCCAGGTCTCCTGAGGCTGGTGGGGCAGCCAGATGCCACTAACGCCTCCTTCAAGACTGCTGCTGGTGACTATTCCATTGGGGGTGGGTTAGGGGGAGGACCGGTAACGATAAAGGCTGAAGGCGGATCGAGACAGGACCATGCCAGCCCCTTTACCTACGTTATTCCAACCAGTGGTAATTGGGGCTACTGTCAGCTCAGTTTATGGGGGAGGAAGCTGGATCGGAGAGCCACATCTCACAGCTGGTGAGTGGTCGGGCTGGGCCCAAGCCCACCTGCCCCAGAGTCACTGCTCCCTGCTGGACGAATCCCACCAAGCAGCAGCCTCAGGACACAGCGACCTGATCGGCCACAGGGAATAAAGAAACCGCGTGAAGCCACCCGCCCAGCCCTGCCGTGAGGGAAGTGAAGTCCAGACACGAGCTGTAACAGGGTGAGCAGGGTGACAGGAGGCAGTCACAAAAGGACAAAAAGTGTGTGATCCCACTTACAAAAATTCACACATGTACACGGCCTCGTGCTTAGAAGAGACAAGGGGCAGAGGGAAGGAGAGAGACCACACGAGACGGGTCCACACAGTGGGGCAACATGGGCTCAGAGCAGTAACTGCGAGGCACCACGGGACCAGGCAGCATTTGGTTCTTTTGCGCATAGGGTTGCTCTGAGTTGAGACTGACTTGGAACCTGGTGTAACAATGATAGAGACAAAGGTGGTGGAAGAACTTGCAATGGATCATGACAACGGCTTCGCGATGCATCAACATACCAGTGTCACCGAATGGTTCCTGTAAAAGCAGGGTGTGTTGGCAAACGTGTTGGGAGATATATATTTACAATGAGACTTTTTTTATTCTTAACAGGCACCTGCCAAGCCTAGTCTCCACTTAGGACCCCCAGAGCAGGACCCATCAGCGTCAGCCCCTCTCAGCACTTGTTCCAGACCAGCCGGGACGCTTGAGTGATCAGTCTAAGTCTCTGGGGCTTGGATTCCATATATGAAAACAAGCAAGTGGGCCTTTGAGTACACTCTTTCTAGGACCTTCTCTGGAGGTTGGGAAGGTCTCTCTTGCTCCTCTGAAATAGCAAAGCACGCTCCCCAGTAGACACATGCCTGAAAGCAGCTGTCAGCAAGCTGGCCATCGCTGAATGCTCGCTTCACCCTGTGTTTGCCGCTTGTCCCCGTTGTAACTTGCTGTGCCTGGTTCTTGGACAGACAGGGACGATGGTAATAACATCCACACCGACAGAGCGCAACCAGGAGGCTCTTCCTATGCTGGGCTTGTCCCTACGTCACATCGTCCCATCTGCACAGTGCCCCCAGGAGGCAGGGACCACACAGTCCAGAAAGAAGAGGTGACATACGTCTGGTTACACAGCTTGTCAAGTATAACCATTAAGACTGAGACAAAAGGTAAACCTGAAGAAAGGCCCGAGAACACCTTAGGGGAAGAGCTTACATTCCAACCATTCACGCTTCAGGCACTCCTCATTCCACGGCACATTGCTTCGTTTGATTTTGCAAATGAAATGTTTCAAAAATTGAAGGTTTATGACAACTCTATGGCAAGCAAGGTTACAGGCACCATTTTCCTAACAGGAGGTGCTCCCTACGTTTATGCATAATCTTCACAAATACTTTTCACGAGTGGTAATTCTCACAATTCATCCACTAATCCAAGTTCACAGCAAGTAGACCACTCAAAATAAAAAACAAAACAAAAGCCTCCCATCTCATCAAATCAGAACTGACCCATAGGTGACCTTCCGGCAGGTTTTCGAGGCTGTAGGTCATACAGGAGGAGATTGTCCATCTGTCCCCCCACTAAGCAACTGATGGGTTCAAACTAGCACCCAAGTATCACCTCTGGGTGAACAGGACAACTTCTTACCCACTAAGTCACCAGAGTAGACTACCATCTAGTGTAAACACAACTTTCATATGCACCGAGGAAAAAAACAAACCAACAACCCACAAACCTTAACAACGGTGTCAGGCTCTTGCTCTATTGAGATGGTCAGGAGCCAAGCAGCCTGTGACATCTCTGAGGAATGCACGGATGTACTTCTCTTGGAGCCTCAGGTCAAAGGAGTGATCTTTAGGTCATCTTGGGCCAGGAAGCCAGTGGGGGTCTCAGGAGCCTGCTATATGTCATGGCTTCACTTAATTATTAAAATCGTTCACTTAATTACTACAACAATTCATGTAATTATTAAATGTGGTGAGAAGAGCAAGTAATCTTTTGATGTCCTCCATTTACGATGAGAAGCAGAGACACGATAGATTAAGATATTTGACCAACCTGACGTTAGGGAAATCGTAGTCCTAACTGCTTCAAGTAGATGATACTTTTTAAAGGGTTTTTATAAGAGGTTCTTCCTCAGAACTTCAAATGAACACACTACAGGATAGGACAGAAACGTGGGCCTGGTCTTATGGTGAAAATAATGAAATGGAGTATGGGGAAGGCTAGGATGTTCTCCAAGTTCTCACACGGCCAGCATCTACCAAAGCCAGGGTCACCTGCAGGCCTAGCATTCTCTGTCAGTAAAGATGTATCACGATGGGAAAGTCTGCTGTTAGGGACCTCTCTAAAGTATGCAAGAGCAACAGTGTCTCTCTGGAGACTAAGGTCCGCCTGATACAGGCCATGGTCTTTGCAATCACTTGTTATGCATCAGAGAGTTGGACAATGACTAGGGAGGATAGGAGAATTGATGCCTTTGAGCTGCGGCGCTGGAGAAGAGTATTGAATGTACCATGGACTGCCAAGAAAACAAACAGATTCATCCTAGAGAGGGTTAAACCAGGCTATTCCTTGGATGCAAGGATTCTGGGGCTTCGCCTGACATACTTTGGACATGTTGTAAGGAGAGACAGGTCCTTAGAGAGGGACATCATGCTTGGGAGGGTGGAGGGACAGCGCAGGAGAGGAAGGCCCTCTATGAGATGGATTGATTCGGTGACTGGGGTAATCAGGATGGGAGTGTCAGAGGCAGTGTGATTGGCACAGGACAGAGCAGAGTTTAGGGTTGTTGTACATAGGGTCGCTATGAGTTGCAAACGACTCAATGGCACATAACAACAACAATTTGATTGGTAGCTGGACGAAGATGAGTGTCCCTCTCTCACCCTTCCTGGCTCACTGACTTACCTCCAGGCAGGTCGGGATGAACAGGTCTTGTGGAGATGGGTTTGTAGGAGACACAGCCTGTTTCCAGCTGGCAATCAGTCCGCTAGCTCTGGAGTTCTCACAGGTCGATGGACCTGTAGAAAGGAGAGGGGCACTGACAGGGACATGGCACCTGGGACAGTCCAGGCACCAGGCTCAGCAGACTCTCTTGTGTCGTCTGAGGGAGTAACCTTCCCAGAGAGCCAGTATCTCTGACTATAAGAAGCAGAGGATGGGGGGAGTTGGGGGGCGGGGAGAAAAGTGCAACAATGAATGAATGGAATTCTGAAATCTCTGTAGATGTTCATTGAAATTTAAAAAAATAAAATAAAGTAAAATTTAAAAAAAAAGAAGCAGAGGATGAAGGGTGATGAGGTCACAGCACTGAGACATCAAGTGGGCAGCTGATTACCAGGTCCCTGCCTCAGGAGAGAGGTCAGAGTTGAGGACACAGATGGGACATTGTTGGAAGGGCAGGAACAGGAGTGGACACTAAGGAATGGGGTCCAGGGCTGCCCTCTACTCCAAGCTGCCCTTCCCACTGATGAGGCCGAAGCATGAACCAAGAAGTGTCATGGTCAGCGGGAGGGCTGGGCCTGGGGACCTGGGGCAGTGTGGCCCGGAGGGCTGGGCCACAAGGCTGCCCTCAGCAAATGGTCAAGAAAGTAGCAAGAGGTGCATGACCACCCCAGAAGGCTGACTGCAGAGAGAAGGCAGGAGGGTCCCCGGGCTCCACTTACACTGGGGCATCCGTGGGGAGCGAGCAGCCAGGGAGGCAGGGAGATACTCGCCCTTCCCATCCACACACCAGCAGTGTCCTGGAGGAAAGACATTCAGGAAGGACATTGGAGACTTGCTCCTGGAATGACCCAGAAATGACACCCCTTCCTCCCCCAGAACAGGGCCAGCAAGAGTGTCCTCCACCCGCCTGAATACTGTCCATGTCACACGGCTACTGCCAGGCCCCACACTACTGGCTGGTAGAGGGTCAACAATCAGATACGGCCTCTGAAGACCTTGGCCTTTGTACCCAGGGGCCAGAAGCACACTCCCCTGCCACCCGTGTGGGACCCTGGCTCTGGGTAAAGAAAGGGAGTGTGGAAAGCCCCTAGGCACCAAGCCCGCTCTCACCGGTCCTTGCATGGCACTGCACGGGTGCCCAGCTCCCAGAGGCATCACACTGGGGCACATAGGGGCCACTGCTCAGAAGGGTGCCGGATCCAGCCAAGGAAGAGACACGTGTCTGATAAAAGGCGACGGCTGGAGGGAGAAAAGGGGGCAGAGACGTGAGAGCTCGGTTCCATCAGCACAGTGAAGGCCAAGTGTTTCTAGGTCCGTCATGGGAGGGTCCTTAGTCATCAGACAGCACCCGGTCCACACAGGCCAGCCACTTGCCAACCAGTGGTCTCCTTTCCATATTTTCTGTGTGGACTGGATCCGGCCACAGAGTGGCTGCAGCACATGTACCAACAGTAAAAGTAATCATGCATTTGAGTTGATTCCAACACAGAGTGACCCACATGATGGAGAAGAAACGCTCCAAAGCCTGGGTGATCTGGTGGGCTAACGGTAAGGAAACGTGCTGCCAACCTAAAGGTACATGGTTCAAATCCATCCACTGCTCTGTGGGAAGAAGACGGGCAATCTCTCCCTGTGTAACTTACTATCTCTGAACCTGCTGGAGGCTCAGCTATGATTCAGTGCCAACTCGCTGGTACACAGCATAAACAACAGCTGATGACGCGGTGTGTAACGTACCCAGCTGCTGACTGAAAGGCTGGGAGGTGGGATCTACCAGCCGCTCTGGAAGAGAAAGATGGGCGGCCTCCCCCACTCAGAGCTCCAGCTTTGGAAGCCTGACAGACGGTCCCTAAGAGTCAAAGACACTCAAGGTCTAGAGGCCCCGTGTGGTGTTGTTGTTGCTGTTGTTGTTGTTAGGTACCATCAGGTCCAGCGTTACTCCTGGCAACCCTAAGAACAGCAGTCTGAACCCTGCCCTATCCTGCGCCATCCTCCATCTCTGACACCCTCGCACCCCATAGGTTCTCCTATCTGTAAACAGTAGAAGCAGGTTGCCAGGTCGTCTTCTGTGGAGCCACTGGGTGAGTTCAATTCACCAGTCTTTTGGTCAGAGCCAAACATTTAACCCACCAGGGATCCGGATAGTAACCAAACAAACGAGCCGAGAGTGGCTGTCAGTCAGCAGCAGTTCCTTGGGGCCTGAGGACAGGGGGCTAGTGGCGTTAGGTCTCCCAGTTCCCGAGAGTCCGAATTCTGAGGGAAGAAACTGAGCAACTTCCTCCTGTGTGATCTACAGCCTCCCAAACCCAGCAGAAGGTCGGCTAGGAGTCGATTCCAACTCAACAGTGAGGAGAGAGGCAGAAAGGAGACCCCTGCCTCCAGGCGTGATGTGCTCTCACTGCCATCATCCCTCCTCCATGGCCACGAACCATCTCCCCACCTTTTGTCAAGTCCCATCCCCAACCTCCTCACCATCACAGCCACGGTTGGGGTAAGGGGGACAGACAGACACAGCTTCCTCTCAGGGAATCCAGAAGAGAATTACCAGTGACCAATGTCCACTGCAAAGTCCTCTCTTTCCCACCAGAAGTCAGCTGTGGGTGTCACCACTCCCTGAGAAGAGAGTGTGCAGTCACAGGCCACCACCCAGCGGGGACCAGTGTCCTGCTGGGGTGCTAGGATTCGCAGGGGAAGTGGGCCAGGAGGCAGGGTTGTAGGGTCAGGGAAGCCTCCACATGAACTCCAGCTCCGCCGCTTCTTAGCTGTGTGATACTCAGCAAGTTTCTCAACCTCTCTGCACCTGTATCCTCTATGACATCGATCTAAGGTTCATGTAACGGGATAAGTATGGGATTTGTTTGAGAAGAGACAACAGGTAGGAATCACCACACTCACCCTAGCAGAGATGACATGCAAACCCACACCCTCCCATCCATCGCTCCAACGCCCCATCAACCAAAGATGGTCCTTCTCCTGATTGTCTGTCTCCAGATGCACTAGGACCTCGAAGTCCACAAGCAGAGATTCCTCCTCAGCTGGCATCATGGACACATTGCTGTGGACAAATCTCCTTTCAAGGACCTCTCTAAATGATAATAGCAAAGACATCACAATGTGCCTGCTCTTTTCAATCAGCTCATCTGCTAAAAGCTTGACAGTCGATAAGGAAGATCAAAGAAGAATCAATGTTTTTCAATCATGAAGACAAAGAATATTGAGTGTACCACCGACTGACTACCAGAGGAACAAACAAATATATCTTGGAAAAATGCAGCCAGAATGCTCCATTAAGTAAAAATGGCAAGACTTCCTCTCATAGAGTGTATTCAGATGGATGAGTTCCTGGGGGAGAATGCCAAGCTTGGCAAAGCAGAGGGGCCAGTGAAGGAGAGGAAGACTCTCGATGGCGTGGACAGCATGGGGCTCAAAGTATGGGAGAGATTGTGAGGGGGGCACAGGAACGGGCTGGGTCTCACTCTGTTGAGGGGAGGGGTCACTACGAGTCGGGCCAACCGGGTGGTCCCACCTTCCGGGCTCTTCCTCTTTGGTCAACAGCCACACACACACACACATTCAAAGTCTGTGGCTGGTGGGGCAGGTTTTGTTGGCCTGACTTCCGAATGAATCGTCATCACACATCCGAGGATAAATCTCGGTGGCATTGACAACTTCCTCTCCCTTCCTCTTAGGTGTCCTTCTGTCACCACAGTGGTCACAACTGAAGGGCCAGCGATCCCACTTCCCTCTTTCATGACATCAAATCTTGCCCATGCACTAATTCACAGCACCTGGTTTCTTATCTTAAGCAGAAGTGCCTGTGTTTCTGAGGAACAGAGAATGGAAGTCCTTGAGCAGGCATGACGGGAAGGGAGGACAGACAGGAGGAAGTGACAGAAGTTAAGCAACCTGGGGTCTCCTGGTGACTCTCCAAAGCCCGTCAGCTTGTCCTAAGTGGTGGCTCCCATGTTGCTGTGATGCTGAACCCACATCCCTGGTATTTACCAGCAGGATCACCCATGGTAGACGGGTTTCAGCTGACCTTCCAGGGTAAGACAGCGGGAGAGAGATCTGGAGCCACTTAACAGTCATTGAAGACCTTCTCGATCATGACAGAATGCTGTCCATCTTGATTGTTTTGTACACATCATCTGGAGGACATCGTGTTTAGTGAAGTGGATGGCCAGGGAGGACACAGGAGGCCTTCCATGAGATGGACTGGTGCAGGGGTCACAACAAAGGATTCCAATGTGCACTGGCCCAGAGGATGCACTAGGCCAGGCCTCTGCTCTTTCCTCTCTGTGTAGGTCCCGTGAGTCATCACTGACTCCACAGCGGCTCTCTACCTCTCTGTGCCCTGGGTCAGCCACTGGGCCAGGCGGTGTGGACACAAAGAAGAATAAGACATGTTTCTTTATCCTTCAGAAGAGACGCCCAGGAAGGGAGAGAAGTGGAAAACAACTATGGCTCTTGGGAGCTTCATGTAAAAGTCAGAAGAACAAAGAGAACTAAGACTTCGCCCCAGTCAGCACAGAAAGCCCAGGAAGAGTAGAGCAGGAATCTGGAGTGGGTGCTCTGTGACGTGCGACAGAAGCCGGGAGGCAGAAGTCTGCTTTGCCCTCATGTGAACTCGAGAACAGGGCATCCACTGGGCAGTTAAGCAGTAGATGGAAATGTGGGGAGGGCTCAGAGACGGGTGAGGCACTTGTGCCTGCCAAGTGGGTGTGAGGAGAGTGAGGGGGTGCCTGGACACTCCTACAAGAGCAGATACAGGATGGAGAAAGAGCAGGGGTCCTAGGTTGGAAGGGATGGAGACTCCGAGCCCAGCCGCTCAGGGACCAGCCATGTAGTGGGATGGAGTGGCTCTGTGCATAGGCTGCAGGGTAGAGGCCCAAGTGCCCGTCAGGGTCCAGGCTGCACTAGTGCCTAACCAGGCAGACTCGGCAAGTGGCTAACCTCAGTTTCCCTTTCTGTAAGTGATTACAGGTGGTGAGTGTAGCCTCGTTCCCATGAGCTGCTACAGCATTAAAGGCAGACATCTGTTAAACCACTTGACACAGAAAGAACCCAGCCAAGGGTCACTGCCCAGCACTGCTGAGCAATTTTTACGAGCTGGAGCCCTGCAGGTTCTCTGAGGTTGTCATTCGTCAGATGAAGGAGAAAGTCTCTGCTGTTCAGAGTGACTCTCAAGGTTAGGTGACTCATGGGCTTAAAGAGTCAAAATCAGTCACTTTCAGTCAGTTCTGACTCCTGGTGACTCACGTGCCAGAGGAACACTGCACTACAAAGGGATTCCACTGGCTGGATTTTTGGAAAGGATCGCCAGATAGTGAGTGGATCGCCAATGAGAGAATGGATCACCAGGGAGGGGATTCCAGGCCATTTTCTTAGTTAGCAGCCAAGTGTGTGTCTCTGGGGTACCAATGCCCCTCACTGACTGAGGGGTCTTCTCTGTGCCCCTTCACACTTGTTTCTGAGTCCTTGGAAGTGAGGGCAGTTTTGAGCAGGGTCAAAAGAGTGTGTGAGCATTTGAGTCCCAGATCCCTCATCTCTTAAATATCTGCCTTTCAAGTGGGCTCAAAGGGTCACCTCTCTGAGACACAGATGTGAAGAACTGCCCTCAGGTGACTCTGCTGGAGGACCTGGGGCATGGCTGGTAGCATAGAATGACCTCCCACACAGGAGTGGCCAATGGGCTCCCCTCCAGCTTTGATGGACATCTCAAGGTCCATGCATCTGCAGAAACCGAGGAGAGCAATCCTAACACATGGAACTGGACACTGAACTGGGACACTCACTCGACTGGGCAGCCAAGCGAAGTGCATAATCACTCCCCGTCAGAAACTTCTCAGAGAACGTCTCCCGGGCTGAGAAGGACAGGGGAAGGGACAGCTCCTCACTGGTCAGCTGGATCCCCTTGGCGGCTAGGAAGCTCTCCCCCAGAGAGAACCTTGAACTGTTGGAAGCCAAGACAATTTCTTCTGTTTCCTTAATGAACTGCAGGACTCGGAACTTTGCTTCTTCACAGGAGCCAGGGCCTGGGGGCATAAAAAGATCACAGATGGATTCACTCACCAGCAATCACTCTCTAGGGCCCTTCAGGTGCCCAGAACTGTGAGACAGTAGGTTCTGTTGTCTAACTCGCATCCTGTGTTATGGTTCCCCGTTACCATGACAGCCACGCGCTCTGAACGTGCTGGTCACTGCATCGCTCCTCCTGATCCCTGTGGTCCCACAAGACAGAGGAGAACTGCCCAGAGGGCCTCCAAGGCTGTAAGTCTACAGGACAAATGGCCTTGTCACTCCCACAGGGCGGCTGGTGAATTTGAGCTGCCAACCTGCTCAGCAGTGGGAAGTCTAACTACCGTGCCACCTGGGCCCCTCTGTATTAATCTCATTGTAAGTTCTTGCAAAGCCCTGGTGGTGCAGTGGTTAAAGAATTCAGCTACTAACCTAAAGGTCAGGAAAAGGTGTGACAGTCTGGTTCCTTAGAGGCTCCAGCCTTGACACTTTCTCAAAAAGTTGCAGATAGAAATATCATTTGACACAGCAATTCCACTACTGGGAATATGCCTTAAAGAAGCCATAACCTCCACCCAAGCAGATATACACACTCCCATGTTTATTGCGGCTTTGTTCAAAATAGCAAAGAGCTGTAAACAACCCAAGTGCCCGTCAACAAACGAATGGATAGAGAAGCTCTGGTATATTCACACAATGGAATACTACACAGCATTGAAAAACAAGGAACTCATGAAATATTATTCAAAATGGATGACCCTGGAGAACATTATGCTGAATGAAATATCTCAGTCACAAAAGGACAAATATTGCATAGAATTACTATTGTAAAACGAGACTGACATCAGGGTTGAGGGAAGACAGAAAAGGAGGGGAGGAATGATGTATACTGCATTGAAACAGATGAGAGAGAGATCTGTTTAAAAGGGACATAGGATTGGGTATTATTGTCCTGACAGGAGTCTAGAATGAAGCCTGCACAGTGGAGTGGACTTGGGAGGAGGGACTGCATATCAATGAAAGAGTTTTTCTTTTACTTTTCAAGGAGAAGAGTGAATAGGGGGGAGGGAGTAGGCAGGAAGAAAAGTGCAACAATGAATGACCGGGAACCCTAAGTCTCTGTAAACTTTCATTTAAATTAATTTAAAAAAAAAAAGACTGCAGCCTTGGAAGCTGTCACCTGGGGACATTCTGCTCTGTCCTACAGGAATCAGAAATGATGTGACTGCAGTGGGTTTGAATCATTTAATGAGCACTTTCTACACACCAGGCTGGTCACCTTGTGTAGCTCTCTCTACAGCCCTTGGAAGCCCACTCTAACTCAGCTGCACAGAGGAGCCTAGACACAGAGGCCCCTCCTCTAGCTCACACTGCACCAGGCGGTCCAGCAGCAGGTGCTCCAGCCAGGACCCCAGCAAGCAAGGCTCTGCCCCTCACACCAGTGCTCCCCATACTGTTACTCAGTAACAAAGTCTTGCCAGCCTTCAGGCCAAGGTCAACAAGAGAAATCGCTAAGTGTCTAAGTCCTCTTGGTAATTACCAACCAGACTTCTCAAATTGCATACAAAAGGGACCAAGCCATCACACAGCATCTAAATGCACAGGTGAGTGAGATATGACCATAAAGCACGGCAGGTGATTCCAGAGGTCCCAGGCGCTCAAAAGAATTACTGTGTAACCCTCATGTTGACTTGGAGAGCAAGTCTGGCTAGACATGGATGCAGTAAAGGAGAGAACGTCAGCAGGGCTAAGCCCCCACTTTCAATTTGTCCCCAGTACTATCTGTCTCCTGACATTCAATATACGCGGGAACTCTCTCTCCAAATTATTGAGCAGCAATGATGTCAGTTTGAGGAATAAGGTACACCTGATTCGGGCTGTGGTCTTTTCAGTCACTTGCTATGTATCTGAGAGCTGGACAATGAGTAAGGATGACAGAAGAACCAATGGCTTTTAATGGTTGTTTTGAAGAAGAGTACTGAATAATCCAAGAAATGCCGAAAGAACAGACAGATTATGTCTTTGAGAAGATGCAGCCACTGTGCTTCTTGGAGGCAAAGATGATACAGCTTCATCTCACATTCTTTGGCATGTTGCTAGGGGAGGCTATTCCTTGGAGAGGGACATGTTTGGAAATGTGGGGCACTGGCAAAAGGGAGGAAGCCCCTTAACCAGGTAATTGACACAGTGCCCACAGCAATGGGTTCAAGTGTGTCAGAGATTGCGAGGATGGGACAGGACAGGACAGGGTTCAGACCTGTGGTTCGTAGGGTCACTATGGGTCACACTTTACTTGCTGACACCTAACAACAACAAGCTGTCTTGATTGCTCGCTCCGATCACCCTACGGTGTGAAACTCCAGGCTAATGCCAAAACAATACAGTTCATTTTAACATTATCCAGAAACATTCCAGCCCCACCGAACACCTCGAGGAACAAGAGACCTCACTGCCCACTCAGTTGCTAGACTGTTCATCCCTGTTGCTTAGAAGGATTCTGATTGGATAACAAATCCCCCACTATTGGTCCATTCCAATTCACAGCCACCCTCCATGATGTCTCTGGGCTGTAAGTCTTTATAGGAGGGGACTGCCTGTCTCTCTCCCACAGATGCCTGGTGGATTTGAACCACAGACCTTACAGTTAATAGTACAATACATGCCACCAATGACCTGTGATTTGATGGTGCTGTTATGTACCATCACATTGAAACTGACTCATAGCTGACCCTCCAGTGGGTTTTCAGAGACTCTAAATGGCACAGGAACTGATTGCCCACTTTCTTCCTCCAGAGCAGCTGGTGGATCCAAACTGTGTACCTTTGGGTTGGCAGCACAGCTCCTTACCACTAGGCCACCAGACTCACTCTGTGATTCAGTAAGAGCGGGTAATGTCTTGTTCTTTCAAACTCCTTCATAACAATTTGTCAATCATGAATTTTCTTTTTTCTTGTGGACCATCAGATCGGATCTGACTGGGTTGCATAGGAGATTGTCCCTTCTCCTCCAGCAGAGCATTTGGTGGATTCAAACCGTGGGCCTTTGGGATTGCAACACAGCTTCTTGCTACTAGGCCACCAGAACTCCCTTTAATCATGTATTTTCATCTAAGACACAGAGTCAGTGTCGTTCCTTTTAACCATGCCTCTAGAAAAGGACCTCCAGTGGCGTAGTCCAGAGCACATTGTGCTGCTAACCAAAAGGTCAGACATCTTCAGTGGTTCGAGGCCTCCAGGTACCCCAAGGTAGAAAGATAGGCAGGTTCGTCCCTTTAAGATTCACAGCCTCAGAAACTTAACAGAGGATCACCGTGAGTCAGAGCAGGGAGTTTGCGTTTTCTCTAGGTCTATTAGCAATCTCTGTTCTTGCATTGCACAACATATCAGGCTGTTAACTGAAGGGTCAGAGGTTCTAATCCATGAGCTACTCTACAAAAGAAAGACAGGCAGCCTCCTCCCATGAAGACTTAGAGTCTCAGAACCCTGGGAGAAGGTCCCTATCCGTCCCGGTAGACTCAATGGCAGTGATTTTGCCCCACACCTGACCTTACAGACTTCCTCTCCAGTGTGTTCCTTAAAGTGTCCCCTCAAGCAAATCAAAGACACACTGAAGACAGAAGCTCTTCTGAGGCCCCAAGTGCAAAGCAGTGTTCCATGCAAGTGGGGGAACCTCACAAGACTTGGTGGTGATGAAGGAAAGGTGAACATAACTCATGAAAGGGCTGCAACATATTCACCATAAGAGTCAAGGGCAAGGTCACATTCACCTTTACAGCCTTGATCGGGCTAAGATAATGCTGTGCAGACAACAGGTGGCTTGTGAAAATCTTGGGCATTAATTCAAGTCATTTTATGAGTATTTAGAATGAACCATATTAAGCCTGTCAACACTTTGTAAACATGGGAAGTCCTTCCCCTCTCAGATCCTCAGTTTACTCACTCAGACAATGCAAGGAGCTCTTCGTAATCCCCAAACACTTCCTGCCGTGACCCTCCACACCCTCGGAAGAGCTGACGTTACTGAATTGCCGTCTTGATGAAGAATACTGACTATCCCACGGGCTCCCATAAAAGCAGACACCTCCGTCTTAGATGAGATAAAGATACCAGAAAGCTCCTCAGAAGCAAGAATGGTGAGACTTCATCTTACTTACAGATCAGCCCTTGGAGAAAGACATCACGCTTGGCAAAGCAGAAGATCAAAAACAGAGGAAGACCCTGAACGAGATGATCTGACTCTGGCTGCACGCGGGAGCTCAGACCCGGCAACAGTGAGGAGGATTGTGCAGCTCCGGGCAGGATTTTGTTCTCTAACGTGAAGCTGCTATGGGTCAGAACTGATTCAACACCTGCCTTTCCCCCCAGACCCCTTTTGAAAAAAAGTGATTCTGTTCCGCGTGTAGTTTACTCACATGCTGGAACCGCACTTGGCTCGGCCCGAGTGCCGTCCACTTCTTGACCAGCCTCGTCCACACACCAGCACCTCCGAAGGTCCAAGTGGACTAAGGGGGCACTGAAGTCCGAGTACGGCCCCGGGTAGCGGCGCAGCTGGCCTCTGAGGATCTGCCAAAAGAGGTAGGGCTCCAGGAGGGTGCTCCCCGCAGGCTGGGTCAGCTCGCCTGCCAGCACGGCCGGGGGGACGTCCCGGAAGGCAGAGTATCTCGCCAGCACTGGGAAGATGTCTTGTTGACCAGCCTCATACAAGCTTTGGACAAAGAGGGGGAAGCTTCTGGAAGCCACTTCTCTATAGCTCATGATCTCCTTCAGCAGCCGGGCAGGGGTCAGCTCCTGGCCACTGCTGCTCTGAGCTGCCCATCGTTGGTACCACTCGAAGGCCTGCTCTGGGGGCCCATCACATTGCACGCGTCTCCACTGCCCATCAGCCCTGCACTGTGGGATGTAGATGCTGGTCAGAGCGGGTGGTGGGCTGGAATCAGAGAGTAGGGTCCTCACTGTCCTCAGGAAAGCTTGTTCTGCCTGCAGCTGGCACGGTGTAGGACCTGAGGGAATGACAAGTAGATACAGGGTGAGCCGTTTCGATACCCACTGCCATCAAGCCAGTTCTGACCCACAGTGACCTGCTGGGACACAGCAGAACTGCTCCCAGTGTGTGATGTCGACTGCTACACCCTTCTCCCAGGAAGCAGATGATAGTTTTGAATTGCCAACCTTTCCGTTGGCAATCCTATGCTTAATTACTGGCCACCCCTCCTCTTTAAGCCACTTCTTCTTGTTGTTGTTGTATGCCTTCAAGTCAGAACCGACCCATAGCTGATCCTTAAGAGAGTTTTCAGAGGCAATAAATTGGACAGGAGAAGACTGCCCATCCTTCTCCTATGGGGAAGCTGGTGGATTTGAACTTTGTACTTTGGGATTGAAGTGTAACTTCTTACCACTAGGCCACCAGAGCTCCCCTCAAAAGACCAAGATGGAAGCATACAGCTAGCTACCCAGGCTCCCTCTGAAACTTGACTCAGTCATTATAAAAAGTTGTAGCCACTGCCACTGAATTGGTTTTGATTGGCAGTGACCTTGCACTGGGTTTCCAAGACAGTAAACTTTCTGGGAGGAGATTGCCCATCTTTCTCCTATAGAACTTTCCATTGGTGGCCTAATACATTACTGACTGCTCCACCAAGACTCCCTGACCTATGCACGGACATTGCAAACCAAACCCATTTCCACCGCATTGTTTCCAACTCGTAGCACACCTGTGAGTGCGCATGGCTGAGTGGAACTGCTAGGGCAACTGACTGCTTAGCAGTAAGGAGTTGTGTGTGTTTACCAACCCAAAGGCATGCAGTTCGCATCCACTAGCTGCTTCACAGGAGAAAGACAAATAAGTCCCTCTAGCAATTATTAATAATCCCGTCTAGTGGTTCATTGCCTCGGAGAACCCACCGGCAGGCCAGCTATGAGTCAACTGTGACTCGACAGTACGTAACAACAACAAGAACCTTTATAGAAGCAGACTGCTTCATATGTCTCCCTTAGAGAAGCTTGTTGCCTCAATTGGTCTTTCAGTTAGCAGCCAAACACTATAACCACTGTGCCACTAAGGTCCCCACAGATATTCCCTAAACCTTAAAGGTTCAAGTAACACATAGACCAGGGCACCCAGTGAGCAACTCAGCAGCCAGGCCAGCTCCCCAGAAACGTGAATGTCACAGACCGAAGGCCAAAATCCTCTCCTTACTCATGTGGTAGAATGGTCAGCAGTAGCTAGACTTTGGGGACTCTTTTAAAAATCAATCTACTGACTTTAACCCTGCTTGCTGAAACTGAGGAGGACCTGAAGTACTTGCTGCAGAAGGTGAAGGACTGCAGTCTTCAATACAGATTGAAGCTCAACATCAAGAAAACAAAGATTCTCACCACTGGGCCAATTGGCAGCATCATGATAGATGGTGAAGAGATTGAGATAGTTAACAGTTTTAGTTTACTTGGTTCCACAGTCAACACTCTTGGTAATAGCAGCCAGAAAATCACGAGATGAATTGCATTGGGAAAGTCAGCTGTGAGAGACCTCTTAAGAATACTGAAGAGCAACAATGTTAGGCTGGAGACTAAGGTGCGCCTGATCCAGGCTATAGTCTTTGCAATTACGTGCTATGCTTCAGAGAGTTAGACAGTGACTAGGGGTGACAGAAAGAGAATTGATGCCTTTGAGCTGTGGTGCTGGAGAAGAGTGTTGAATATACTATGAACTGCTAGGAGAACAAAGAGGTTTGTCCTGGAGAGGGTGAAGCCAGAACGCTCCTTGGAGTCAAGGATTCTGAAGCTTCATCTGACATATTTTGGGCATGTTGCAAGGAGGGTCCTTGGAGAGGGACATCATGTTTGGGAGAGTGGAGGGATGACGCAGGAGAGGAAGACCTTCAATGAGATGGATCGATTCTGTGAGTGGAGTGGTGGGAATGAGTGTGTTTGAGACAGCGAGGTTGGTACAGGATAGAATGGCATTTAAGGCTCTTGTACATAGGATCGCTATGAGTCGCAAACAACTCGATGGCACTTAACAACAACAACTGACTTTGTCACCAACTGAAGTGTAGGCTTCAGCCATGAGTGGATATTTTTCCTCTGGAATGCTTTGTACCACCAGGGTCTGAAGAGGGAATGAAGAGGGCATGGGCTGGATGGAGTCCTCAGTTCCCATAAATGGTGTAACAGAGACTACTAGAATAGAGGTTGGTGGTTCTCACTCACTTACAAGCACCTGGAAGATGGGCCTTAAGATCTGTCTGAACAGCCACAGACAGAGGTGCATAGTGGGTCCAGTATTGACTATCACAATTTCCATCACCCACTATAAGAGATCGGTCTGCAAGTCAACACAAATACTTTTGTATTTGAGAGCCTTCATGGGTCAAGAAAGGCTGTGTGATCTTGCTCTGCTGAGTGTAGAAGAGAGGCGAGTGAACTAAGTATCTTTGAGTACATTGTAGATCCACTTTCATACATGAGAGCAAGGACAGTGGGGTGATAGTGATCCCACAATACCACAACGTGATTTAAAAAAAAAAGAAGGTTGCATTGGACTTGTATCTACTGAACTGACATGGTGCAATTATCTCAAAGATAGGTGGCAGATGTGTGGACAGGAGAGTGATTTTAGTGTTCTAGATACTTCTCTGACTCTCTATGCTGTTGTGTAGTGTCAAGTTGTAACCGACCCATAGCTGACCCTCCAGAGAGTTTTCAGAGGCATGAGAGGATATTGCCCATCCTTCTCCCTCTGAGCAGCTGGTGGGCTTGAACTATGTGCCTATGGGATCACAGCACAGCTTCTTGCCACTAGGCCACCAGAGCTCCCTTTTTCTGTCTATAGAGCCATTCTAATCTGCACAAATGGGATCACCATGAGTTGGAATAGACTCCACAGCAACCCATAGCAACAAAGATTGAATGTCCAATAGACTTACACTGCTTGGGCTCTCCGGTTACACTTTGAGTTCCAGGGATAGCTTGTCCCTCAGTGTCCACACAGTAGCACTCAGAGTTGAAGCACTGAACAGGTAGGAAATGCCCCTCACTGGAACAAGCAGGGACAGGTAGGCTGGACCCAGCAGATTGGCTTTTCAGGAGACTTTGCATTTGTGCTCTTTGCTTTTCACATTGAGTGGGGCACCTGGGTCGTGTGCCTGTAACTCTGAAGCCAGGAAGTTCTTTGCCCCGGGGATCCACACACCAGCACTCTCCAGCAGAGCACTGGACATCCTCATAGCTCCCTTCTGCTGTGCATGCTGGGACAAACAGCTTTTGGGGTGGCTGCTCACAGGCCTGGGCACTAAGTGCCATTTCCATCACATCCCCTAAGTCCTCAGCCACATTCTCAGGCACAGAAACAGCATGCTGCAGGAAAAGAAGGAATTCTGGAAGATCCAAGAGAGAAGCTAGGAATTTCAGAGTATTTTGGTTCTCCTGTAAGTTAACTTCAAAGCCAAAGCTGCCTATAATTGGCAAATTCATAGCCTTATCAGAGCCATCAGTGGTTTCCTTGCCAAGGTTTGATTCAGGTCCCACAGACAGCTGTTTCATTACACCCACAAATCCCTCTTCATCCTTGAAGCCTGAAAGACCAAGTTTCTGGAAAAATTGACTAAAATTAAATGTGCCTCTTGTGCCAAGAGCTCCTGACAAGTTAAACTGGCCAACATTCACCAAAAAGTTTCCTCCAAAGAGGTTCTGCTGGAGTCGCTTGGGGTTGGTGGTAAACTGTAGGGCCAGACGTGCCAGCTGTCTGGAGGGGAAAACTGCTCTGATGGCCTCCTTGAGTAGACTTTGTGAGGCAGGAAGCTGTTTATCCTGCCCTTCCACCATGGGACGGAGAAGGCCAGAATCAACAAAGAGCTCCCTGAACAGGGGTGGGCAGGATGTAGAGAATCTGGCCACTCTCTGAGAGTTCTCTCTCTCCTCAGGAGAAAAGAACAAACTGTGCTGGCTGAAGTGGCCAGAGGGCCCAAAGTAGAGTCTAGACAAGGCCTGCTGCCTCTCTGATGCACAAGACCGGTCTTCACCTGTGGGGAGACAAAATTAGCAATAACATAAGCCACCATGAAATAACCCCTCAGAGCTTTCTTCCCTCTGCATCCTGAGCCCACTAAGAAAACTATTCTGTTTTCCTGTTTCCTCTCTCTCTCTCTCTCTGAGCTGCATCTGTACAGCTGTTTTGAGTAGAAAGTCTTGTGTTGGCATGACTACCTCTTTTTCACGGGAGGTTGGCCTCCTTCTAAAGCAAGTATTATAGACCTAAAAACTTCCTCACTTTCTGAAAATATAACCACTAAAGATAAATATATATTTAAAAAAAGAAAGAAAGCAAATAGTTGTCAACAAATCTATTTTAACTTCTGACAACCAGAAAATATATGTCATTATGAAATGTTTTCTAGCCTTCTGTCCATGGAAACTTTAGTGGGCTTTAATCCCTGACTGCGTACTCTTCTATACCTAATTAGGCATCAAATCCCTAACTCCCTACATCTAAGCAGGTGAAGGTCCTTCATTCCTCCTCCTGGCTTTTCCTGTGTGGTTTGCCTTGTTGTGTTAGTTGAGTCTATTCTGATTCATACTTGCTCTTAAGAACTAGGTAGAATGGCTCCATAGGACCATCTTAGCTGGTGGGGTCAAATCACCAAACTCTGGATTAACAGCTAAGTACTTAAACATTGTGCCACCATGACTCTTTGTAGATTAACTAATTCTAATTCTTTAAGAGACTTTTTAAAAGTCCTGCATACCCGTGTTGAGCTTATTGAGGGGTAGTCTTGATGAGGTACACACACGTACGACCTCCCAACATTCATTTAGAAGTAGAGAATCAGGATTCTTGAGGATAAGGACTGTATTATAAATACAATTAGCATTTCCCATTAAAATCAGTCATGCCCACCAATAAACATCTTTCTTCTAGGCTTCTTAGCCTGTCTGTGAAATTCATAACTAATCATTTCAAACAACTCCATGCAGCTATGCCGTGTTAGCTGAAATGTCTAGATAATTGCCAGGAAAAATTGCAAATTAAATTCAAATACCAAGTCGCTTCCTTAGTCACTTGTATGGAATGAGCTGGCTCCACCTTCTCTCTATAAAATGGTAACACTTAGAGAATATTTTCGACCAAGCTCCCCCTACACTTTTAAAATAATTCTTTCCTCCTGGTCTATGTGGATGCTGAAAAGGAAGTCAGCCAAGTTCCCTCTGTAACCAGGCAACAGAGAAAGAAATGGAACATGTGGTCAGGGTGGAGGAAGGAAGGCTGGCAACATCAGAGCACATACCCAGCCTTCAGCAAGGCCCTGACTTGCTTTAATGACTAGTACAGGAAGGTATGGAAGACATAAAGTCCCTGATTGGCCCATTCCAAATCAGTACATATGCCCTGGTTGATTTGTTATGTTGTGTTACTAAGACTAAGAAATTTAGATAGTGCTTCCATGTGAAGCTTGTAACCGAGGAAATGGGACCGACACTGCTGGGGATGAGAACATATGATTTCTGCATTGAGTAGAACGCCTGTTTTTCATTTGGAAAGCCATAGTACTTCATGTCCATCGAGAAAGCGGAAGGTCCACTACTCTGTAGGCTTTAATAGAAGTGGGGCTAGTCCACGGCATGGCCGAGCTAACTGCATGCTCCCTGAAGTCAGGAGCGCCGCACTGTCTTTGTTGACATCCTGTCACCCAGCAGACAACTTCCACACGCCTCGTAGAAAATTGAAAACGTTCAGCTGGAAAAGTCGAATGCTTCAACTAGAATTATTGAGGGACTGCTCAGCCCTCTCTGTCTGTGCACAGGGCTATAAACGGACCTGCTGACTCCACCCAGGTCAGCCAAGCAGGCAGCTGTGTGTGCGCGAGACCTCTGCCTCCCTTCATCCTAACAGGCTTCAGAATCTTCCTGGCAGGGGGACGGGAGTCTCACCAGAAGGCCTCCGCCCTCACCCTTCTCCCCACACTGTCCAGCCTCCTCCTCCTCCTCCTCCTCCAGCTAACGTTCAGAGCACCACCTGCATCCTTAAACCCGATGCCAACCAGGTGATACCAGGTGATTGGGTTTCTAAGGCTACCAATCTGTCAAGAGACACTTGAGCCCAACAAAGGAATCCCAGTTCTGGCAATCCAATTCATCGCCAGCCTCCATCGGGTTTCCAAGCCCATAAATCCTTTACAGGAGGCGGCTTCCCCATCCATGTCTGCTGGAGAACTAGCCGATTCCAGCTTCCCACCTTCCAGGTGGCAACCCAGCATGGAGCTCGCTGTCAGTCACGGCTCCTTACACCTGATACCCTCCAGGTGACAGCCGGTGGCTGGGTTTCCAAGGCTGCAAATCTTAATGGGAGCAGACTGCTCAGAGGGGCAGGCGGATTCCAACTTTCAGCTGTACAGCTAACAGCCCAATGCGTATCCACTGCACCAGCTACAGTGCCCTTTCAATCGGTCCCATTGCCCTCAGAACAGCTAACCATGCGTCCTCCCCTCCGGCATTCCGAGATGATCTTACTTACATATAAAACCCACCATGGGTGGTACTCTCCAGCTTAAAACCTGGCACTGCTTAGTTGACTCCAGGATGAACCCAAAGCCTTGGTTGTAATGTTCAAGAGCTCACTGTCTCGGCCCTGCCTCTCCGTCCCCCTCCCCCCCCCCGGTGGTGATGCTCAGGGCACCTCTCTGATCATGCTCCAGTGGTGGTTTTTCTTGCTCTACCCTTCTTGTAGATTCCGAGTGGCCCGTGGCATACCAGCACCTCTCATTTGTGCCTTTACAATTTCATTTGTCCTTCTCTAGAGAAAACACTGTCTTATTTTCCTCCTTCAGTAAAACCCTTCTTTTAGAAACTCTGATCTAGTATCACCTCTTCCAGGAAGCCTTCCAAGATGCCTCTCTTGCCTTGGCTCTAAGACAGAATCCCCCCCTCTCCATGTCACTGCCTGTCTCCACTTTTCCTATCGTCCCTGTAAACTTTCATTCTTTTTTTCGTTTCACTTCACCTCCCTCTAGACTCTTAACTCCATCTAGTACAGGAAGGAGAACACACAGGACATGAATGATGAAGTCAGGTGGGATGCCCTTAGGGAGAGGCTGACTTGACAGGTTGGAGAGTCTAACGATGTTTGTGTGGATAAACAGTCATAATCACACAACCAGACAGAGCCCGAGAAGAAGCCCTCAGCAGGAACCCACCACACGATGGCAGCCCTCCTGTCTGTGACGTCCCAAGGACCTCATTTCCTCGCGTGTCCACACACCAGCATGGCCCGTCCCGCTGGCACTGCACAGGCCGGTAGTCCCCGCTCCGGCTGCAGGCTGGAACGTACGGGTGACCGTAGCTGGTCGCTGCGAAGCGCTCCACTTCACATTTGGTGGGACCTATGAGAAACAGGACAGTGAGGACCAGAGCAGGGAAAGGCAGGACACCTGACGCATGGCCCCCTGGCCTTGCTGCTGGCTGTCAAAATCCAGGAAAAGCCTCTCACTCCCACTGGAACAGCCTCAAAGCAAAACAAAAGAAAAACGAGTTAAAGTTGAGTAGACTCCAATTCATGGCGACCCTCCATGGGTGGCCGGTCTTTGGAGGAGGAGACGGCCCGTGTTTCTCCTGCAGAGTCGCTGGTGGAGTCAAAATGCTGACCTTTCAGTTCACAGACCAACACATTATGCACCACATAACACATTATGCCCGTTAAGCCACCACACTCCTTCATAGAGATTTTGGTGACTTTCTAGGCCTTGTGATCCCCCACCCCCTGTGCAGAGCAGGACACATCCACTCACTACTCACATCGGAACCTCCCAGAGACGACTAACTGGATGGCCAGGAACCGCCTCTGCAGTATCCGGTAGAGGGTGCTGTCCGTGAAGGTGGAGGCGAGGTCCAGCCCAGCAAAAATGGTGTCGTAAATCTCATCCAGTAACAGCTCCAGACCTGAGCAGAGACAGCAAGTATTGGAAGGGCTGGGTTCACTTGGAAAGGCTGGCTTCCCTCTGCAAACAGCTAGTGAAAGGAACAGAGCCCCAGCAGCATTGCTGTGCACCCTGTCTGCCTACAGTTTCCAAAGTAACGCTGCCTGGGACCACTGTGCACAGCTCAAAGCAGCATTGCTTCATTGAGAGGGAGGTAACCCCTGACCATGGAGTCAAGTACGACCCACAGTGACCTTCCACTGGGTTTCTGAAACAATAAATATTTTGCAAAGGAGATTGAACATCTTTCTCCCATGGAGTGACTGGCAGACTTGAACCACCAACCTTTGGATTAGCAGTTCAACATGCAGCACATTGTACTACCAGAGTTCCTGGAGAGAGACAGTGGAGATTGAAATCCATCCTGTGCTCACTCCCCTCGCCAAGCAATGCAACCTGTCTCAGAGCTGCACTGCCCAGAAGGGGACGCTCTTCTCCAATGTGCACACAGGTACCGCACTGGCTGGTAGCTTTGTCCTTAAAGAACCACGGATGAGAGCTTATGGGGCTATGTCTTCATCGACACCCCCAGCAGCTGAGGGGAGCAGGCTGTGAATTCTGCCTCAGGATCTCTCCCGTGTATCACACACTTAACCTCCTGGTTAACTCAGGTGTGCTCACCTGTCTCGGCCAGCTCCCGCCCTTGACTATCAGCACAGTGACAATAGCCAGACACCTCAGGGAATCTGTTCTGGAAGGACCGGAACGTCACAAATGCATCTGGAAACCTACGAGAGAATTCAATTTAGGGTCCCAGCCCCCCCGGCCAGTCTCCTCCTGCAGACAAACAGCCACATGCCAAGTCCCCATCTGGGAAAAGTCATGTCTGTTTGCATGCCTCGTCCCATTTGCTCCGCGCTCCCTGCAGTAAATGAATTTCTTTCCTAAATTGCTTTCCCCTGGCCAGAGTTAGGCTGGTCCTTGTAAAAAGAAGGCTACCCTTAGCTGTCACCTTCTAATTAGCTGTACTCACTCTTCATGGCTTGAGAACAATTTATGGCCGTGACAGTGTCACAAGACTAGGCAGAGACAGGCAATGAACTTCATGCTCATGAGTTCTGTTACCAGAATATAACGTGAGAGACTAAAAGTCAAGTCTGCTTTCCAAGCATATGGTCCATCATATATGATCTCATTTGGGGAAATCAAAGGAGCTCAGAGCCCTGGAAAACTTCTGCAGAGCTTGACAGGAAGCCAGATTCCACCCTGAAAAACCCTGCAGAAGGCCCTTTCTCAGCTCCGTGGTTGGAAAAGCACACACTGAGCGCAACACCATGGATGGGGGTTACACGGTCCTTCCAGATGTTGAAGGGAGGGAAGTCCACGCTCTTGAGAGGCCCATGGCACTTTCAGTCCCCTCACGTGCACACTGAAGACAGACCATGACGAAGAAAGACAGAGGAAACGACATTTTTGTATTAGGTGTTGGTGAGGAATGTTGCATACACCACAGGCTTCCAGAAACACAAAGCTGTCTTTGAAAAAGTGCAACCAGAAAAGTCTTTAAGAGTGAGGTAGTGAGACCTTTGTGTCAGGTAGATGGACATGCTATGGGGGGGGGAGGGAGTGGAGTCAGGGGGTCAGTCTCTAGAGAAGGACGCCGTGCTTAGTAATGCCCAAAGTCATGAGGAAGAGGAAGACCCTCGATGAGAGGGGTGGACACAGGGGCTGCAGCAATGATGGGTACCGGGACAGTGTTGGGGCGGGGGGGGGGGGGAGGGGGGGAGGCAGAGGGGGGGGGGGGGGGGGGCCTAGGGGGGGGGGGGGGGGGCGGAGGAAGTACAGGGCTCAGCTGTGCTTCCTTCCGTTGGGCAGGGGTCACTGCGAGTCAAAACCCACCCAATAGCCCCTGACAACAACATGGCTAAGTCCTGGCCGGCCTGGACATTTCTATAGGAGCTGATGGGCTGGGTTCCCCTCTCAGAAGCAAGAGGAAGCAGGTTGTCGTTGGTATGTGCTGTCGAGTCAGAACCAACTCATAGTTAAGCATCTAGCAGGTTGTTGGAGGCTCTGACTTGCACAAGAGGAGATTGCAGATCTTCCTCCCTCAGAGCAGCTAGTGGATTTGAACCATGTGCCTTTGGGTTGGCAGCCCAACTCTTTATCACTAGGTCAACAGAGCTTCCCAAGAGGAGGCCGTTGGTTGTTGCCATGTTGTAGTAACCAGAGAGGAGTTTCAGTCTTTGCATATCGGCAGGTTACTTCCCCCTCTGTCTAGCTACCACAGGAGACCCAAACACAATGCGGATCTAACTCCGCTGAGAAATAGATTCGTAAATTAGCAGCAGCAGCAGCAACTGGCTGCACCAATAGGCCTGATGCTGTTCAGTCTCTTCTAGCAAAATATTGAAACCAACTTTAATATATAATGCAGGAATATTAAAAGGCAAGCTGTAGTAAAGCCTCTTAAATGAAGTGAAATACTAAAATAGAGGATGATACAAATTTCTAGGTAAAGGGAGCTTTCCAAATACCAAACAGCGGGAACACATACTGTGATTACTACCATGTCAATGCATCTGTCTTAAAAAGCAATATCCCCAGTAACAACTCAGGACCTGAGAGTGGGAGGGTAGCAAGTGTGGCTTTTTTATTTAATATCTCAAAATAAGCTAATTTGAATGGAATAAATCTGCAACACAAAAACTATAAAAGCACTTCAGCATTATGGCATCAATGGGTTTTGTTTGGTTAGTTGGTTTTTATGTGTTTGTTTTAAAAAACAGTGTGTTAAGTTTCTTTTACTTTTTATTGTTATTAATTTTAATGAAAGTTTACAGAGACTATGGATTTCCATTCATTCATTGTTGCACTTTTCTCCCTGCCCACTCCTCCCCCATAATTCACTCTTCTCTTTGAAATGTAAAAGAAAAATTCTTTCATTATTATATAGTCCCTCTCTCCAAATCCACTCCACTATGAAGCCTTCATTCTGGATTCCTCTCATGATAGTAATACCTAATCATGTATCCCTTTTAAACAGTTCTCTCCCTCATCTGTTTCAATGCAGTATACATTATTTATCCCCTCTTTCTCAGTCTCCCCCCCAACCCTGATGTCAGTCCTGTTTTAAAACAGTGGCACCATGCAGTATTTGTCCTTTTGTGACTGACATATATTTACTCGCATAATGTCCTCAGGGATACACATTTTTTAAATTGTTTTGTCTTACATGTTCTTAATCTATGATTGTGTACGTGTGAAATTTTAAAATGTTATGCAAGTGAGTTGTATCATAAACACACTGAAAATCCACTGTCGTCAAGGTAATTCTGACTCAGAGACCCAGAAGGGCAGAGGAGCACTGCCTCGTAGGGGTTCAAGAATGTAAAGTTTTACAAGAAATACTGCTGTTGTTGTTAGGTGCTGTCGAGTCAAGTTAAACTCACCGTGACCCTATGAATCACAGATCTGAGCTGTGCCCCATCGCGTGTCACCGTCACCTTCACTGACACACTTGAGCCCATTGCTGCAGTCACTGCGTCAGTCTACCCCATTGAGACCGCTGACCTTCCACCTCTCCAGGCGTGACGCTGCACTCCACGGAGCAGCCTTGCCCAGCGGCATGCTCAAAGTAGGTGAGACGAAGCTTCATTATCATCGCCGTCAAGGAGACTCATCTTGCTTCCCAAAAGCAGCTGTTGAGTTTGAACCACCAAACTTTCCGTTAGCATCCCAACACTTAGCCCACTGCACTGTCAGGGATCCTTGAGTTGCACAATAGAAACTAAATATTCACTTTCTCTCAATGCTTCTGCCAGCATGTGGGGACCTTCTCCGCCGTGGTCTTTGTACCCCCAACAAATGACTGGGCCAGTCGGTCCCCGAGTCATTGCAGTTGAGTTGGAACCAATCATAGCTGACCCTCGAGCAGGACTTCTGTGAATTGTGTAGGAGGAGACTCTCCACGAGCCACCAGATACGTCTTTTCAGCTGACAGCCCAGCTCTCTACCAACTCTGCCAGCAGACTCCTACATGACTAGGCAGGAAAAGGAATAGGAAGTTCTGCGGCCTACAACAACAGACCGGTAATAACGCAGACAAGATACATGGGGCCTTTGAGGGGATTCAAACTCAAGTGGGCAGGTGATTACAGATCATACCCACCCTCCACTGGAATGTTGAGGCTCTAATATTAATGGGACGAAGTTGCCCATCAATCTCTTATGGAGCTGCTGGTGGAATCGAACTGCCAAAGAGGCAGCTATCAGAGCAGCACACGATGGAACCCCAGAGACAAGCCTGGTCGGTTTTGCCAGCCCTCTAGGCTTCAACTGAGCCGTCCTGGACACAAGAAGCAGACCTCACTATCATCAAGAAAGAAGCGTGCAGAGTACAGAGAGTCCTTTGGACCCAGGGTCTCTGTGCTCAGAACTTTGTAGGCCAAAGACAGAGAGAGTGCTCGCTACACCACCAGGGACATTATAGGACAAGAGAGGACGGTAAAGGAATAGCAGCAGAGGCAGGAGGCTGCTGAGAGCAGCATGGTGGGCTTCCCATCACAGAGCAAGACAAGGGACAGAGGAGGGGGGTGCCGCCCACCTGCAGAGTCAGAGGAAGCGCCTTTGGGCAAGAGGCCTGTGGGCAGAGTGTGCGTCCTCTGGGCACATGGCAGAGCTAGACCAGCCAGCTCACAGAGCACAAGAGCTCAGCACCTTCAGGTCCAGAACTTCAGGGTATTACAGACCGCCAGAAGAGCCGAGTCTCAGAGGAGATACAACCAGAATGCTCCCTAGAAGGAAGGATGGTGAGACTTCACCTCGCTAACTTTGGACAAGTCATCAGGAAAGACCAATCGTTAGAAAAGGCCGTCATGATGGGTGGAAGGCCAGCGAGAAGGACCGACCCAGCAGGCCCAGTAATGGGTTCATCGTGAAGATGCCACAGGGTTCAGGCGACCTGGATACTGTTGTGCACCAAGAAGCCATAGGTTGGAGTCAACGTGGCAGCGACTAGCGAGTCCCCCCTTTGAAAATTCAGTCTGAAGGAACGTTTGCACACCCGGCTTTACAATTTTCAATGCAACCTTGGGAACGCTGTTACTGACATGCATCCACTGTCATTGCATTCCACGGTGACGGGTTTATCTTTCCGTCCCATGTGCTGTGGGTGTAACAGCAAAACTGGGCATCTCCCAGAACCTTCTCCATCACCGTGGGTCCCCATGGGGTTCCAGGCCCGGGCGGCTCCAGGTCTGCATATCAGAAAATGCCTGATTTCAGCCAGCGATCAACCACCTGACCCTTCCCAGGACCTTCCTACACCAGAATGTGCTCTAAGACATTCTTGCTCACAAAAACCAGAAAGGATTCTGTTTCAGAGGGAAATTTTTCTGTTTGTTTGTTTTAAACAGTGGAGGCTCAGTCTAGAACCTTTGCATTTAACGCGATTGCCCCCTTGTGGATGTAGTTGTAATTGTTCCCTGGCATGGCAACCACCAAGTTCATGGGCCCAAGTTCATGGGCTCATCCAGTAAGCATTCATTGCGGTCCTACTGGCTGCATGCTCCGGGCTGTGCAGGAGGACCTGAGATTAACTGAAGCAGCGTGAAACAAAAAAAAAAAAAAAACAGCTGAACACCCACTTTCACACAATCTTCATTAAGGGAGTTCAATTTTGCTGAAAAGAGTTGGGCTGCCTTCGTTCTGGACTCCTGTCATGACAATAATACCTAATCACATATCCCTTTGGAGCAGTTCTCTCCCTCATCTGCTTCAATGCAGTATACATTATTTATCCAATCTTTCTCAGTCTCCCCCTAACCACGATGTTAGTCCTGTTTTGTAACAGTGATACTATGTGGTATTTGTCCTTTTGTGACTGAGATATTTCATTCAGCATAATGTCCTCCAGGGCCACCCAGGGAGAAAAGTGCAACAATGAATGAATAGAAATCCAAAGTCTCTGTAAATTGTCATTAAAATTAATAATAAACAATAGCAATTAAAAAACTAATCTAGGCAAATAAATGGCTCAAGACACTGAAAAGAGAAATTGTTAGTCCATAATGGACTATGGTTTGTTTGTTTGTTTGTTTTTTTAAGAAAATGACATTTTTAACAAACTCAAAATCTTTCAAGAAAGGGGAAAAAAGATTTGGACTGCTAACTCAGATTCACCAGGTGCTCTTTGGGAGAAAGATGAATGATCTTCCCTGCAACTCACGGCCTCTGAGAATCCTCTGGAGATTCAGCTATGAGTCAGCTGTGACTCGATGGCACATAACACACCACACAAAACAAGAACTTTACCAAAACACCCAGCTAGTCCTCCTCAGGTGAGCTCCTTAACCCTCTGGTTTCTTACTCATTTGTATACTAGGAGCTCCTGTGGCGTGATGCTTAAAACATTCAGCTGCTAACCAAAGGGTCGATAGTTTGAATCCACCAGCCATGCTACAAGATAAATCTGCACCTCTCTGAGTCTAAGAAGATTCTAGAAAGCCTTGAAAACACTCTGGGAAGCTCCACTCTGGCCTACAGGATCAGACCTGGAGGATGCAAACTTCCCTGTAGCTGATGAGTGGGTGCTCCATTGACCTTGAACTAAGACATCAGCACACACACGCCCACGCACGTGTACACGCACCCCCACCCAAGAATATCGTGCTTTTTGGAAATTCACTTATGCTCACCAGTGGGTCTCTAGACCTGGAGGAAACGCAAATGTACATGTGTTTAAATTGGGAGAGCTGGGAAAACTCCCTCCATGGCTGTAAGGAAATTTTCTTTTTCCCAATGGTGGCAGAGATGAGATCTCAGAGCTTCACCAGGGGCTGACCAGCAGGGAACAGTCCTCCATTTCACAGATGGGGAGACTGAGGCTCAGGGAGGGTGTAAGTCAGTCACCCAGGTCCCTGTGTTCAGCAAGGCAGTCACTATGAAGGTCGAAGGGACAAACCCCACAGAACCAGGCAGCTCTAACAAAAGGGTGGAGCAGACAGGCAGATGGCAGCTGACAAGCTGGGAACCGAAGCCTGGACAGTAGGGAGTGTGCTTGGTTCAAAAAGTTCAACGGCTTCCCCAGCCCAGCTTCCTGATGCCATAGACAAGGTCTACAGCCCCCCTATTCTTGTTCTTTAAAGTTAGGGGTTCAGAAGTTTATGTTTGGGGTTGAATTCACAAAATCACTGATGTACAATAATTTAGATCTAAAAAAATATTAAAATTCTACAGTATTCAACTTAATCAAATATTCTAGCATTTAATACAGGATGTTACAATCAATGTCACAAATCATAATGTATGGATGTTTGAATAAAAAAATCATTTTGCTTCATAAATTTTTACCCAAATCACAATAACAAAAATGAAATATGATGCATTTGAAACAGGCAGGTCTGTGGGGCGGGACCCACTCATGTCGGCTGATGTGCGACCCTCACCCAGCACGGCCTCAGAATCTCCTCTTCACCAAACCAGAGCCAAACCTACGCCACTGTCAGCCAGTCAGTTCTGAATTATGACAACCCGCCAGCTGGTTTCCACCTGAGGCTATAAATCTCTGTGGGAGGAGACTGCCCATCTTTCTCTCAGGTAGCATCTGGTGGGTTCGAACCACTGACCTACTGCTTAGCATGCCAACACATTATGTGCTAGACCACGGACACCTACATAGGAAAGCAAACCCCCAGGTGTTGTGTTGATTCTGCTCCAGGCGGCCCTCCACATGGTGTCAGAGGCTATAAATCTTTCTGGGGGCAGATTGTTCCACCTTCTCCCACTCAACAGCCTGTGGACTCGTACTGCTCACCTTCCAGTTATCAGGCAATGCTTAACCTGCTAGGCCACCAGGCTACAGAGGGGAAAACACTGACTGCTTTGGAAGTCAGACATGGCATGGCCAGGGTACCCAGAAAAAGGTAATTCATAGATGGAAATTCTTACAGACTTTTAACTCAGAACCTTCCGTTAGAACTCAAGTCTGGGAGCATTCCTTAAAAGAGCCAAGTCATCATTTAAATAACTGATGACTCTTCCATTTTTATATTTATTAATCCAATCGTCTAGATGATTAATTTGTTTGTGTACATAATTTACAAAATAGATAAATATTATTTTCCTTAATGAGACCTTCACATTTCTGCACATTCCTTCCTTTGTTGACAGCTGGATAATATCAGTCTTGCCCAACTTTTGAGGCTGTTTGTACCAGGTCTATTATTTAACGTATCTGTTGAGTCAGGCCTTTTCCCCTCCCTCAGAGGCCACTCACGCCACTCCTTGGAGCCCCAGCCCCCCAGCAGCCAGGGCGTCCGTGAGGGATGTGAAGTAAGCAGGGCCCAGCGACGGCACCCCTTACCTGTTGTAGCTCTGGACCAGATCGAAAATCATCATGTCTGTGGTGTTGACGAACTTGCACTGGACGGGCATGAAGTCCCCCTCTGAGGAACACTGCGGGGGTGACCTGTCCCCAACTCCGTGGAGGATGCGGCGGTTTCTGATCTCACAGCTCCTGGGGCCTAGACATATTGGGGGACGATCAAGGCGTGAGTGGGGGTGTCTTCTGTGCACATACGTGGGTGCACACCACACACACTATGACAGTTAGGCACCCAGCTGGTGACTCAGGTCTGCAGTGGGAGCCTGAAAACGCGCTGCTATCCGGTCAGTTTTGTATCCTAGCGACCCTCCACCAGGGGTCCTGAGGCTGTAAATCGAGATGGGAGGAGACTGTCCATCTCTTCTCGGTGGATTTGAACCATAAATGGGTGGCATTTGGGTTAGCAGTGCCACTCGCAACAGACTATGTCACCAGTCAGTCAAAGTCAAGTCCAAGCTACTGTCGTTGTGTGGGAACCGACTCAGAGCTGACTCTCCAGCAGGTTCTCAGACTCTGAGAACACAGGAGGGGAGTTCCCGGGTTTCTGAGAAGGGGCAGCCATGGGTTAGAAGTGCCAGGAAGCACTGGGTTTGGGTTAGAATTCAGCTGCCTAAGGTCGGGCCACCAGAGCGCCCCAACATCTTCCCTTGCTTTCCGATCACTGAGCACTATCTACTACGGGGACATGTATGACGTAATTAGACTCATGGAGACTGCTATCAGACACAAACACACTGGTACGTGGACCACCTTCAGGCCTGGAAATGAGCTCACTCTCACGGCTCAGCTTTCAGCCAAATGACAAGTCTGTAAGGTTAGCAACGCCAGGGAGGCGCACACACCTGAGAACAATCAGCCGCAGCAGGTGTCAAGGGCAACATTCACCTCGGGATATAGCTCAGAAGGCAGGCAGGAAGAGTGGAGTGGGTAAACACAAGGATGGAGAAGGAAGAGTGCTGTTACACTGTGAGGACTCTGGTCAATGTCACAAAACACTGCATTGTTGAGTGGAAAACCAAACTACTCCATAAACTTTCACCCAAATCATGATAAAATAAATAAATATGTAGATGAGGGAGAGAACTGTTTAAAAGGGATATGTGATTAGGTACTATTGTCATGATGGGAGTCCAGAACGAAGGCTGCCTAGTGGAGTGGACTTAGGGGAAGAGAGACTGCATAACAATGAAAGAGTTTTTCTTTTCCTCTTCAAAGACAAGAGTGAACTATGGGGGAGGGGTGGGCAGGGTAAAAAGTCAACAATGAATGAATGGAAATTAAATAAATAAATATAAAGTAATAAAGCTTTATAAAAAAATACTTCCATTTCCCAAACAGTTTGGTGGTTCCTCAAAAATTTAAATAGAAAACTATCATGTAATTGAGAAATTCTCCTCCTAGGTTTTGACCCAGGTGGATGGGCTAAGGGTTGATTCACTGAGGCATTATTCACAATAGACAAGAGGTGGGAACAACCTCGCATCTATGAGTGGTTAGATGAAGAAACTACTGTCCATCCAGTCAATGGACACGATTCAGAAATTCATTTTAAAGGGGAACCTTGAAAACTTCACACTGGGTGAAATAATTCAGACACAAAAGAAATATTATACAATCCCACTTACATGCAATATCTGTTGTTATGTACCCTCACATCAAACCTGATTCACACCTGACCCTCCAATGAGTTTTTAGAGTTGGTAAATTGCACAGGAGATTTCCCAACTTTTTTTTCTCGATGAGTAGCGAGTGGGTTTGAACCCTGTGTCTTTGGGTTAATAGCACAACTCCTTACCACTAAGCCACCAGAGCTCCCTTAAGAGGTATCTAGGATCGTTAAATACATAGAAACTAACATTTCTCAGAGCTGGCCAGGAGGATAAGGAAAGGAGTTACTGCTTGCATGGCCCTGGGATTCTGTTTGAGGACAGATAAAAAATGCTGGAAATGGGCAGAAATGAGGGTCACACAGCATGGTGAAGAGAATGAGTGCCCCTGAACCGAATCTTTTTAAATGGTTAGAATGACAGTTTTTCTTAAATATATTTTCTCATAATAAGGTTATTTCTTAAAAAGCTGTGGCTTTTTAATGTATACTGCACTGAAACAGAGGAGGGAGGTATTTCTGTCATCACAGGAGACTAGAGCGAGGGCTACATGATGGAGGGGACCTGGGGGAGGGTTTGTAAAACAATGAAAGAATCTTTTCTTTTACTTTTCCATAATTTTTGGACTCATGTACTTATAACTTGTTAGTCAAATTTGTGTCTTCTAGGTTGCAACACCCCCATGATACATCTTCAAGGATATGAACATGTACGGCCAAGCACAATCAATAAGAGTGCATCTAAATTCCAAAATCAATCTCCATAATAGTCTATGTGTTTCCTACTGCCAAAGGGGCCCTTTAGAGTAGTGAGAGAAGATCTTCACCCTGAAACCCACAGCGTCCCTTTTCAGCAGAAAGTAGCTAAGAGAATACGCCATCCCCTTTTCCTTATGACTCAGGGTGAAGTCTCTCTCAGGGAGGAGTGATAGGGAATGGCAAAGGACACACTGACAAAGAAGATTAATCAGAACTGGCTTTGACAAGCACTGTGGCATTTGGACAAGAACAAACTGGGAGGAGGGTAGAGAGAATAGTGCAACAATGAATGAATGGAAACCCAAAATCTCTGTAAATGTTTATGAAAATTAATAAAATATAATTATAGGGGGAAAAAAAAGCTGTGGCCTCTCTTATAAAATAGGACTGACATAGCCATTGGGGACAAACTAAGATAAGAAGGGATAAATCATGAACACCGCATTGAAACAGATGAAGGAAAGAATTGTTTAAAAGGAAAATGTGAACAATAAATAAATGAAAATCTAACTTTTCTATAAATTTTTGTTAAAATCACGATAAAAGAAAAGGGGGAGGTGGAAGCAGTGGCCTTATAAAGCAGGGCAGAACCGCCCCCAGAGAGTTTCTCAACACTATGAATACGCACAGAAATAGATTGCCACCGCTTTCTCCCAAGGAGCGGGCAGTGGGCTTGAACTGCTAACCTTTCAGTTAGTAGCTGAGCATTCAACCACTGTCTGTCAGTGAGGCCTAGAAGCTGCAGCGCCTGTGTTGAATCTGCACACACACACACACACACACACACACACAGCCACCCGCTACCCCACCACCCCCGACTCTGGGACACAGTGACACTTACAGCGCGCTGGCTGGCCCTGCTGGCGGGTCCCATACACCTCCATGCCCTCCGTGTCCACACACCAGCACTGCAGCTGCCACACGTCACACTGGATGGGTGCGTAGTCTCCTGAGTCTTCACACTGGGGCAGGTAGGACATGGCCGTGCTGTTGAGGTAGCTGTTCAGCAGAATCTGCTGCTTCTGCAGCTGACAGAAGGACAGGCCTGGGGCGTGAAGAGGACAGGCAGAGGGGGTGTTGACGAGACACACAGGCATCCTGGCCTCAGACACACAGTCCCTCCCTTGAGGGACACAAAGTCCCATCTAAAATCCCACCAAGCAACGTCTGAGGTTCCAGCTTGTCATAAAGCCCTGCCAGCTCCAATGTGGATGGTATCAGACCGTCACACCAGGGCACATCTCAGAAGTGTCACTCCGTCGGCTGGATAACCTTGTCCATGGTCGCTGGGAGGAGTGTGGATGGAGGCAGGCGAGGGAGTACACGGGTTCATCTGAGCCTGAGCTGCGTGTGTGCGCAGAGGGCTTGACCCTGTGTGGACCTGGACTGCACCTTACTTATATAGCCGGCTGAGGTCTCCATGATATTAACAGTTACTGCTGTGGATTGACTCCCTCCTGTGTATCTAGGCTGTGACATTAACAGTTACTTTTGTGGACTGACTCCCTCCTGTGTGTCTAGGCTGTGACATTAACAGTTACTGCTGTGAACTGAGTCCCTCCTGTGTGCCTAGGCTGTGATAGTAACAGTTACCACTGTGTATCAAATCCCTCTATGTACCTCTTGTTCTGAGCCCTTCCCCTAAACAACAGGCCCATTGCCCTCCAGTCAGTTAGTTCTAAGTCCTGGCGAGCCCACGTGTTACTTGGATCAGCTTGAGTTCCAGAGGTTTCTTGGCTGTACTCTTTGGGGACCCTTTCTGCTGCAGGACTGTTGAATGGGTTGGAAATGCCAACTTTTCAGCTGTCACAAACCATTTGGGTCGCCCAAGGGCCCAGTGCCATAGAGTTGTTTCTGACTCCCAGTGACTGTATTTGGGGATTAACCTAATTATACAAATAACTTGGAACCGTGATGACCCTGTGGGAGAGAGCCGAACTGCTCCTTCCTGCTTCCAAGGATGTAGATCTCTTTGGAAGCTCACTGCCGCATCTTGTTCTCAGGGAGTGTGACTGGTGGTTTTGAACCGTCGACCTTTCAGTGAGCATCTGAGGACTTTCACCATTGCCCCACCAGAGATCCTTCACAGCTTCTCTAAACACTGTTGGTGGATTGATGTGAATATATAGCAGCCCTTCCCCAGAGGGTTTTTCTAGGACTGTAAATATTTTTGGAAGCAAATTGACTCCTATTTCTCCAGCAGAGCAGCTGGTGGGTTTGAACCGGTGACTCTTTCATGAACAGTCAAGCACTTAACCACTGTGCCACCAGAGCTCCCTATGGTCTTCTAGCCATGCGTAAACCTCACAGTGACGTGGGAGGCAGGTCCAAGCACCTGACAGACAAGGCTCTGTAGCGGGGGTGGGGTGGGTGATGTGGACCAGTCCATGCATGTGGATGGCAGTGGGACCATCTGGGCTCCAGCCAGCGCACTATTCCATAGAACGAGAGCTTTGTTTTAGGTCCACCCATACATGCCATGTCAAGGTGACCAGCTTGAACTGACCTTTTTGACTACTCACCAGAATCACATCTTAACTGAAAGTTATAATACTTTCAGTATCTCTAGAGATTTACATAATGTTAGCAACACCTCTGAGCAGTTGAACTTGGTAATGGGGCCACTCGCTGGCCTCTGGCACGGGGGGCTGTCAGCACCTGGCCTGGACCTCGCACCAACCACTCACTGGCTATATGCCAGCCCCCTCCACAGGCCACATTTGATTTTCAGGGTGGTCCTGTGGATAACAGGGCCCTCTGTTCTAGGAAGGTTCTCCTTCAAAGAGGAAGGGCAGGCCAGTCCAAGGCTCGTTCTAGGACACAACTCTCCCTTGTCGGGCCCCCTGCCCCATCTCACAACCCCACGGCTCCCCTGGTCTCCCATTCCATCCACACTTACAAGACACCGGCCGCCCGGGCCGCCTGCTGCCCGGGATCTCGCCGCCGTCGGCCCCCACACACCAGCAGGCCCCGCCACCGTTCTGACACTGGACGGTCCTGAGGGCAGACACAGCAGTGGGACACGGTTCTCGGCTCCTCAGCCCACAGTCTGGCTCGTCTTCCCTCTTCCATTCCCTCGTGCTCTGATTCATTACCATTAGACTGAGAGGTGGGTGGGGAAGACCCCCTCCTGTCTGGGTGCCCAGGGCCGACCTGCATTTCCAGTTGGGGGTGTGGGGGGCTCTTTGTGCTAGGAGGCTACAGAGGCCTGGGCAGGGTCCAGTCCACACAGAATGGTGACCGGTCCCACCCTTGTCCATGACTTCTTAAGAGAACACCGTGGGGAAGGGACAGGCAGCACCCTAGTCCATGCTCAGAGGTCCTGAGGGGACAGATCAAGCCCTGAGCCACTCACAGCGGGGGCTGGACAGCAACAGAGTCCACGCACAGAGGGTGGTGAGGTCTCCTGAGCACAAGGCCAGGAAAGAGCTGAGTTAGTTGCCCCAGGAGCACGTGGTGGGGACAGGGAGGGATAGGGTGTCAGGCAGACAAGGGCAGTAAAAGGTCCCTCCAGAAAGGTCAGGGTTTATTCTGGGGGTGGGAAGTGGGGAAGAAGAAGAGGAAGGGGACAGGGTGGAAAGAAAGCAAAAGTTGTTTCAGGTCAAGAGAGCGGATCTGGCAAGGAATAGGTGCTTGAACCTGCAATCGGCTGGAGCAGGGGGTACAGAAAGCTCCAACATGTGGGCTGCTCAAGAGGAGAGATTCCCCCAGCCCCTTCCTGGACACCCCACAATTTCCAGGGCTGGGCTGGGCCTAGGTCTCTGTATCTCTGTGTGTGAGGCTTATGAGAGACACAAGGTGTGCACAAGAGAGCGTGTGAGTCCAGAGAGCGGCTTGGCTGTGTTCTGAGCACAGGCCTCACGCAGAGCCCCCTCTTACGAGTGCGTGGAGTCCCCTGGTGCCTCCTGGGACATGTGGGTTGCACACACATTACACAGATCCCTATGGATTCCTCATAGGAACCACTTAGATCATTACTGCACTCCACACAGAGGGCACTCCAGGACCCATGTTTGTGTCACAGTGGCTGTAAATCAGCTTTCAGAGGGCCTTCGTCCATCCTGGAGGGGGTAACAGGCCAGAGAGCAGAGCTGGGCCAGAGAGGCAGCCGCCAGCCCAAGAGACCTCCTCCCTCCCTCTATGACTTAGAGGGCACCGGAGGACACTGCCAGCAGCTCTCACCCCCTCACCTCACCCCTTTTAAGAAGGAATTACGGTGAAAGATTTTGGCTCAGAAAGGAAGGCCAAGGAAGAGTAGATGCCTTTGAATTGTGATGTTGGCAAAAAAAGTTAATGTATCATGGACAAAAAGGACAAGCGAATCAGTCTTGAGGACGTATAGCGTGGGTGCTCATTAGAAGCAGGGATGGAGAGATTTGGTCCTGCACGCTTTGGACAAGCTGTCAGAAGGGACCAGTCCCAGAGGAAGGACATCATGCTTGAAAAAGTCGACGGGAAAGAGGAAGACCCTCAGCGAGTGGCCTGGCACCGTGGCAGCAGTGAGGGCTGAAGCACAGCAGAGCCGTGAGGACGGGACACTAGGTAGCCACTGTGTGGTCTGTGTGCAGAGGGCTGCTGGGACACGGAGCCCCTAGCAGCAACAGGAAGAAGTCGGAGTCAGGGGGTCTCTCCCCGGCACACCTAGCCACTTCACCCTGAAGTTTAGCAGCCTCTAGGGCCAAGAGGCAGCATCCCAAACCAGTTGCATCTACTCAAGCAACTCCACAGAGCAGAGAAAACCCATTTCTTAAGGTTTACAAAAATGGAATCTTTATGGAAGCAAGTGGCTTTGAACTACTGACGTCTCAGTTAGCAGCCACAGGCTTTAACCCCTGGAGCCAGTGGAGTTCCCCAAATAGCTGTCCCAACCCACTGCTCATTTCTATTCTGACTCGTAGGAACTGTTGATCACTTTTTGAGGCTGTAAATCTTTGTTAGGGGAGATTTTCCATCTCGCTCCCTCAGGACGCCTTGAGGACTTGAACCCCAGCTCTTCCAGCAGCAGCATGACAACATAACATGCTTAACAACATAACATAAAATACGGCACCAGAGCCCAGCACCTTCAACCTGCACATGAAGACAAAGGAGATGGACACACTGGGTGGGGAAAGGATGTCCAGAGTACTGAGATGCTCATTATGGTTGGAGCCCCCGCTAAAGTCTCCACCCTCTGAATCCCCAGCCTCAACAGCTCTGGATTAAGCCTTACCGGAAGCTGCCGTCCTCAGCGCACTGGGGCACATAGTCTGCCCTCTTCAGAAAGGCCTCCTCCCTCTGCAGCTCACATGGGCGCAGGGGCTGTGTGTCCACCTGGTATTCTGCAGGAAGGAAAGTGGGCATCAGAGGGCAAGCTTCACCCCTTCTTAAATGTGGGCATGAGCAGTGCAGATGCTCCTCACGCCCACAGGATCCTCGGGAACTTGGTGGCTTTCGGCCTGGCAGTGACAGCCCGCTTCCCGGCATATTTATGGGAAGGGAAGGGTTTGGAACACCCGCACACCCCATGCACCCCAAGCTGCAGTGGGGGGCAGTGACTCAGTTCAGCAGCTGGCTTTGCATTTCTCCAGTCTCTCCCAGCAGAGAGATCTTCTCTCTGGCCTGGAGCTGGTATACCGATTCCTCACTAACTCCTGTGCAACTTGTATTTCCCATTGAGAACGCTGGCCTATGTGCTATCATCCTCAGACATCACAAGCATTTGCTTGTTTTCCCAGTGAGGAAATCAAGGCTTAGAACCTTTCCCAAGATCACAAAGCTTCGAAGCTGTTGAGGCAGGGCGAGAACTTAGGTGCTTTCACTCCACAAGGAGATTTCATTTTCTGACTACCTGCCAGCAACCTCTTATCTACCTCAGGTGTCTGGTCTAGACTTTGGAGAGAGACATCGTATCTGGAGGACAGTGAAGGAGAGAAAGACGCTCAGTGAAATGGGTTGACGCAATGACTCCAGCCGTGGGCTCACGTGTGTCAGACACAGCAAGGATGAGGCAGGACAGGATTCAGGTCTGCTGTTCATAGATAGGTTCGCTGTGAGTTGTACTCGACTTGAAGGCACCTAACATCATCAACAACAAAAAGAACAGCTTCCCATCTCGGATCCACCAATCACTAGCTCTTCGCCCTCAAGTAATTCAGTTTACCTCTCTGAACCTCTGTCTCTTCTATGAAAGAAAAAGCAAATAACTGACCTCAAAGTGTCTTGAGGATAAAATGACACATTTCAGAGACCTGGGGGCAGAGCACAGCAGGACACAGAAGCCCCAGATCTGAGTCCTCTGTCTCTGGCCTCCACATCAGAACTCACCAAAGATGTTGGCCCCCGTGGAGCAGACCGAGCTCAGCAGAGCCAAGACCCACAGAACTAGGGCCATTGTCCTGGCCCCTTCCAGGGATGAAGGGGTAGAAGCCACTGCCCACTGGGATCCTCTGGTCAGGAAGCTTTTATGAGCCTGGTGCTGGTGAAGGGCCTCCCTGGAGGATCCTTAGGAACGCGGTGATCCCTGAATTGTGGGCGTTGAGAAGTACTCTCCATCGGCACCCACCTCTTCGAGGACACTTATGAGACCAGTGAGGCCTGAGCTCACCCACATGGGGAGCAGCCCTGGGCCAGGCTTTCTGGCCTGTGGGCCCCGAGCTCCACGCACCACTGTGGCAGGTGCACCATGGCCTTTCCTCCCTGGGCTCCCTCCTCCCTCCCCTCTCTTCCGCCCTCTCTCCCTGACTTCCCTCCACTCTCTCCCTCTCTCTTCCTCTGTCTCAGCCTCCTCTCTTCTTTCCTCTGTTCTCCTGCCTCCCTCCCTCCTTCCCTCTCTTTTTTTCCTTTCTCCGTCCCTCCCTCCCTGCTTTCTCATTCCTCAAGACCCTCTCTCAGGAAGGTCTGGGCAGGCAGCACAGGACACCATAGAATAGAGTCTTTTCAGGATGCCTCAGAAGCTACTCAGTGCCTGTCCGCAGCATCCAGAATCCAGCGCTGCCTCTGCTCGTTCTGAAGTAAGCTGCCCCTTGCCAGCCACCCGGGGAATGATGTGCACGCTGATCATCAGAGCCTGATGTTATCTCAGTGGCACGGATTGAATTACGTCCCCGCAAAATGTGTGCCAACCTGTCTAGTCCGTGACTGCCAGTATTACGCACTTAAACACAACACTCAAACTCACTACCCTCGAATCATAACTGATTCTCCATGAGGTTTCTGAGGCTGTTAATCACACAGAAGGATCATGTTCATCTTTTTCCCTTGGAGCCACCGGTGGATTCGAACCGCAAAGGTGTGGCCTTTGGAATTGGCAGCACAGCTCTTAATGGACTAGGCTACCAGCGCTCTCTATTATGTAATCACGGGTTGTAAATCTTTACTTCTGTGATGTTAGGATTAGAGGCAGCAGGAAATGATATAACCGCTCCCAAGATGTCATCTAATACAATGATGCAATCATTTACAAGGAGATCAGGGCAGCATGCAGTAGCCTTAGTCAAGTCACAGCCATGATCCCGGGCAACAGAAGCTTTTCTCTGGGGCGTGGCCTGCATCAGCTTTGTCTCATAAGAGATAAAAGGAGAGAGAGCCAGAGAAGAGAAGGCTCAGCACTGTGGACAAAGATGAGCCAGGAGAGCAGTGCATCCTTTGCTGGGAACTCTCCGAACCAGGAGACACAGAGGGGGCCTTCCCTCAGGGAGACACAGAGGGGGACCCTCCCTTAGGGCTGCGAACCAGGACACACAGGAGGACCTTCCCTTAGGGCTGCGAACCAGGACACAAAGGGGGACCGTCCCTTAGGGCTGCGAACCAGGACACACAGGGGGACCTTCCCTTAGGGGAGACACAAAGGGGGGCCTTCCCTTAGGGAAGACATGGAGGGGGCCCTTCCCTCGGGGCTGACATCTGGAATTGGACTTCCAGCCTCCTGAACTAGGATGGAACACATTTCTCTTTGTTAGAGTCATCCACTTGTGTCTAGACAACTGAGACGCTTTGTCAGACTTCACCATCTGTCTGCCCACTAGAACATGGGCTCTGAGGGTGCAGATGTTTGTCTATCTCAGTCACCTACAAGTGCCTGGGTCCTAGAACAGACCCTGGGACCCAGGAAGCCTTTCCTAAACGTTGCTGGGTGAGCAAATGAGTGAACAGAAAGCACAGTGCTCAAAGCACGAGTTCCATCCAGTCGAGCCCTGGGAAAACACTTGCTAATCACGAGAAAGGAAGCCCTGGGCTTCTGGTGGCTTCTTATTGTTGTTGTTATGTGCCGTCGAGTCGTTTGCGACTCATAGCAAACCTATGTACAACAGCCCTAAACCCTGCTCTATCCTGTGCCAATTGCACTGCCTCTGACACACCCATCCCGATTACCCCAGTCACTGAATCAATCCACCTCATAGAGGGTCTTCCCCTCTTGCGCCGTCCCTCCACCCTCCCAAGTATGACGTCCCTCTCCAAGGACCTGTCCCTCCTTGCAACATGCCCAAAGTATGTCAGACAAAGCCCCAAAGTCCTTGCCTCCAAGGAGTAGCTTGGTTTAACACTCTCCAGGATGAATCTGTTTGTTTTCCTAGCAGTCCATGGTACATTCAATACTCTTCTCCAGCACCACAGCTCAAAGACATCAATTCTCCTTCTATCCTCCCTAGTCATTGTCCAACTCTCTGATGCATAACAATTGATTGCAAAGGCCATGGCCTATATCAGGCTTAGTGGTAAGGAATTATGCTGCCAACCCAAAGGAATATGGTTCAAATCCAGGGACAACCTCCTCCTACATGAAGTAGAGCCTGCAAAAGCCTGCTACATGGCCGGCTGTGGGTCAATTCTGACGCCACAGCAACAAGTGAGTAAGTGACCTTGCTCAGGTCCTCACTGCCCCTGGACTAGCTGGTCAATCTCAACTCACAGCGGCCCTGTGGGGCCAAGCAGGACTGCCCCATAGGGTTTTCGAGGCTGGGATCTTTCCAGAAGATGATTGCCACCTTGTTCTTACATGGAACAGCTGGGTGGGCTCAAACCACCGCCCTCTGAGTTCTCCACTGAAACCACCTCCTAACTCACTGGTCTCTCCACCTCCACCCCTGGCCCTCGCTGAGGCTCACTCTCTCTCTGACCCTCCCTGAGGCTCCTTCTGCAGGTGCTGGGGCAGCCCCAAGAAATGCTTCCCAGATGCAAGGATGGAGATGAAATGCCCCCCCCCAAGGACTTCTTCCTCTCAAGTCCAGGAAGAGGCACCTTGGAGAGTCTCAGGGAAGGAACCAGGGGTGGGGAGGGGAATGGAGAGCTGGATGTCGAGGACAGACTGGGGCAACAGTGTCACCACTGACTTCAGCCCCAGCTACCCCGGCACCCAAGCCATGTTGCAACCCAGCAGAGGAGCAGGAGGGCCGCTGCTGGCTCTGCACGCAGGCTTGACCACCGGGGCCATTTCCCTCTCCACACGTGTTGTCAAGCAGGTGAGTCTTATCACAAGTGAGGAGAGAGGTGGGCCTGGAAGCCCAGACCCTAATTTTTCCTGAAGCCCTTGCACACATCTTCCAAGGCTGGTCCTACGCTGAGTCACGCTCGCTGGCAGAGGTCCTAGGAAGCTGGGCTTGGGGATCATGTGGGCCCATGTCAGGGCTGTCTCTGCTCCACTGAGTTTGGTATTTCAGGGACTCAGCTGTGAGCAGGCCAGGACCCACCCTGGGAGGTAGGGTGCTGGGGAAAGGAAAGGCAGCAGGAACCCAGTCCACTTGAGACCAGGCCTGGCACTTACATAGGCGGGTCAGCATTCAGGAGGACACTCAGTGGGCCGGAACTCCCTCCAGAGTTGCGCTGGAGTGGGCCTGGGCTGAGCTCGCCCACCTGTCCCCAGGAGAGTGCTTCTCTTCACCCAGGCAGCAGAGCGGTGAGGTGAGCCGAGGCCCGCCCACCACAGCGGTCCCCCATTGCCTCTCCCAGTGACTCAGGCTCTCCTGACTGGTCTCCTCTCACCTCCACTGCTCCCTGAGCCAGAGCATGGTGAGGACACCACATCCATCCCAGAAGGCAAGGCGACAGCTTTATTCTCGCTCAAGCCTTTAGGTATCCACATGCCAAAGAAAAGAATTGAAAAAAAAAAATATCCTTGTTTTGAGCCTTAAGGAGCCCTGAAGGTGTGGTACTTAACATGTTGAACTGCTTAAGGAAATGTTGGTGGTTCAGACCCACCAGTTACTCCATGGAAGAAAGACTAGGTGGGCTCCTTTTCTAAAGACTTACAGCTTTGGAAACCCAGTGGAAGGTGGCGAGATGCCAATGGGTTTCATGTTATTTCTCAGACATATAAAAAATAACTCCAAATTATCATTTTATGAACATTATTTACAAGCCTTTATATGGACATATTAATTTCTGACCTAGAAGTATGATGGATGGACATTATGACAGGGTGCTTTTTTAATTTTAAAAAATATAAAAATCATAGTGTTATAGTCACACCAATAGCAGTACGTGTGTTTCAATTCCCCCCCAACGCGGACACATTTGGCATGGTGAGTTTTGTTGTTACTTGTACTTTGCTATTCAAATACATGTTAAAGTCATATTGTGATTTTTATTCCTATTCCCGTAATTGCTGATGAGCGTTCCCATATGTGCTGATTTGCTATTTATAGGTCTTCTTTGGTAAAAGGATATGTTCGTATATCACTTTTAAATTATTCTCTCCCTCATATGTTTCAATGCAGTATACATAATTTATCCAGTTTTTCAGTCTTACCCCAACCCTGATGTTAGTCCCATTCTACAACAGTGGCACCATGCAGTATTTGTATTATAGAAGAGTATAGAATTAAGGTTGCATAGTAGAGTGTACCTATGGCAGTGGGAGGGTGCGGAGGGATTGTATACCAAAGAATTTTTCCTTTACTTTTTCAAAAAGAGGAGCAAACTGGGGGGGGGGGGGGAGGGCTGGACAGGGAGAAAAGTGCAACAATGAATGAATGGAAACCCAAAATCTCTGTAAATGTTCACTAAAATTATTAAAATTACAAAAAAATATTTGCAGCCTCAGAAACCTGATGGAGGCTCTTTAGGAATTGAAAAAAAAAAGATATGTTCAAATATTCTGTCTAAACGTTGCTTTCTTATGGAATTTTCCAAGTTCTTTATACATTCAGAATACTGACCTTTTATTAGATATGGTGCTGTTGTTCTTAGATGCTATCAAACAGAGTACTACTCTTAGTGACCCTATGAACAACAGATCTGAATCCTGTTCTAGCCTGTGCCATCTTCATAATCTCTGACACATTTGAGCCCAAAAATTGCAACAGTCACTGTATACATCTATCTCACTAAGAGTCTTCCTCTTTCACTGGCCTTCCACCTTTCCAAACATAACGTCCCTCTCCGAGGAATAGCCTC